ACTTACTACGAGAGTTAATAAGATAGATATTGGCTATAGATTAATTAACTAGTGGGGGCATGGCATCGTGCCTTAAAGCCAAATTGCTGGAACTTCCGTACCAAAAATTAGTTTTTTTTAAAATTTAAAGATAACATTTTGAAAAAAATTTACTCTGAAAAAATTAGATTCTTGAGAAACTATAAATTTTTGACAAAAATTTACTTTTTTGAAAAGACTTTTTGAAGAAAAATTATTTTGAAATATTTTAGAAATTCTGAACTTTTTTTCAAAGCAATCGTACTGCTTTAACTAGAAGCTAACTTTAAATAGAGACTAAATGTCAAAGCGGTAAGCGCCGCGTCGCCGTCTAACGGATAAACATTGGTACGGAATCCAAAGGAATGTAAACAAAATTTATACTAATTGTTAAAATCTCTATAAAATATGTGATAATTTGATGTGCATATGTCTAATGGTCATTTTTGAGCGCCAAATGGCATTTTTTTTTTTTTTTTTACTAGATCTCCGAAACCACTAGACCTGGTTTCATGAAAATTTGATCAGTTCTTCATCTTATTAATACAAGTAAAATGTTTTTTGAATTGGATTTAGGATTTTGAAATAGACCTGCCTTCGCCAAAAACTAATCAGCACGTCTCCTTATCAATACGAATCGAATGTATTTTGAATTATTCAAATCGCTTCATGCGTGTTCCCGAAATCGTCGACGAAAATTTGTATCCGAACACACACACATACACGCACACAGATACACACACATACATCAATTTTTTCTAAGGTATGCCAAAATATTCAGAAACCTTTGAAACGTAAAGATATATAAAAATTTTCATTTTCGAAATTTTTGCGATTACTATAACTTGCACTACGGGAAGTTAAAAATATAGAACTATAAAAACAATTCGCTTCCCCGTGGCATCAGGTGTTTCTGCTTCCTTCCTTCTATCAATATCTCGTCTTCAGATCGCGTTCTGCTAATATTATTATATATATCAAACCAGCAAATCAAATCGTGTCAACTCAGTCCCGGCACTCCGGCATGCGCATCCAATATATTATCATCGTCGCTAATTCTTTTAATAAGACAGCTGGCGACCTGTTGCTGGCCGATGGATCCAGGTGGTGGCCTTCTGCCCAGCCCGTGCTCTGCTCTGCTCTGATATCGGAATAAGAATTTTAATCTATTCCTCGAGGTATGCATACTTGTTTTGCAAATGCTACCGTATTTCGAATCTTATGCCTTGGGAATTCATCGAAGGAAGAATGTTTGGAATTGTGCTCATTAACATGGGTAAGTACTTGATCTTTGCTTATTGTATAAAAATTGCAAATTAAAAATGGAATAGTGGTGCATGGCTTTGTGCCTGCTGAACGCTAATTGCTGGTACTTCCCGTACCATAATTTAATTTTTTTAAAACTTCATCATTTTGTGAAAACTTTGATAAAATTAGATTTTTGAGAGCTTTAGAAAAATTTTTCTATATTTTGGAATTTTTTGAAGGTTTTGAACATCTTTGCAAAGCATTCGCGCTACGTAGCTGTTTTTAGAAACAAAATATCGAAGCGCGCAAACACCGCGTGGCAGTCTAATCGTTTAACATTACAAATCTTGATACGAAACCCATATTTCTTTCTTTTATATATATTTTTAACAGCAATCAGAACCTTACGTCCTATGAGCTGTGGGCTGAAACTTCTCCTTACTTCGTATTTTTAGATGGTAACCCAATGGTTAATCCATCCATTTATTGATGATTTTTGTTATTAGAATTAATCTAATAGGGCTGACTTTTTATTGGTGCGCAGCAATGGCGGATGAGAGCTATTTTCACTTGGAAACATATTGCTATCTATATTTCCAAGTGAAAATCGTTGTCACTGCTGCCTGACATCTTAATAAATCCTTAGATATGTTAACAACACACTAGAAAACACATTTGTGTCAAGTATTATGTTTCAAAGTTGTCGGAGTCATGGAGTTGTTAAGTGGATATAACTCCTCTCTCAAGCGGAGTCAAATCCTAACCGATCCGGCTTCGGATATGATAAGCGCATATTTAATACACACACATACATCCAATTTTTCTAAGGTAAACCAAAATATCATGAGGGCTTGGAAACGTAAAGATATGCACAAATTTTCATTTTCAATTGTTTGTGATTACTATAACTTAATAGTACGTAATTTAATAGTCTTTACTATAACGTAAAGAAAATATTTTTTTTTATCATAAACAAATTGAACAAACAATCTGAACTAAACTAGTGGGGTGTATGGCATCGTGCCTTAAGGCAAATTGCTGGAACTTCCCGTACCGTAACAAAATGATCGAGGAATATTAAATGTTTTAAAATAGATTATTATGAATACTGTAACATTGTCTATTATATTTATAAGAATTATATATACTAAATTGGAAAGTTGAAATTATTTGTTTAAAGTATATTAGAACAGAATTAAAATAAAAATCTGAATTATTTTCGATATACAAAAAAATTTTTTTGAAAAAAAAAATTGATAAAAAATTTTGAAACAAAAAATTTTTTTTCCAAAATCAATTATTTTGTTAAAACAAGCAGAAAGTTTTTGGAATCATTCAAATCGGACGCTTAGTTCTCTCAAAAACTACCATTTTTTGCACATTTAGCTCTGTTCTCCGAAACCGCTGGACCTGCCTTTGCCAAAAACTAATCACCCCGTCTCCCCGTCATTACGAATTGAATGTTTTTGGGATCATTCAAATCGGACGCTCCGATCTCTAAAAACTCTATTTCTATTTCCGCACTCTTTGCTCCGTATCTCCTAATCGGCTGGACCTGCCTTTGCCAAAAACTAATCAGCACATCTCCCTATTAATGGAATCGAATGTTTTTGAACCATTCAAATCGGTTGATCCGTGCGCCCGAAAACGTGGACGAAAAATTGTATCCATACATACATACACACTCACTCACACACACACACACATCCTTTTTTTCTGAGGTATGACAAAATGTTCAGAAACTTCAGAACGTCGAGAAAATGTACAAATTTTCAATTTCGATTTTCGGCCCATTACAATAACTTACCCTACGGGAAGTTAAAAAGTTAGTTAAACAAATACTATATATAAATCAGAAAGGAAAGTTAAAAATAAATACTTTATAGTTTTTTCTCGACGATTTATATACTTACAATAGTATTTACTATTTTTAAAGTAAAACTTCTTAGACACCGTTTCGACACCGTTTCGATAATTGAATAATGGGCTCACACACACATACAATTTCCAAGCTTGATCTCAATCGCTTCAGAATGACTTGAAACGTCAAGAAAACATAAAATTAGCAAGATATTTTAACGGTTCAATAATTTTTGAGAAGGCATTCATATATACTATTGTGTAATAGCAATCGATAATGCTGTATTGTGTAATAGCAATGCTGATATGCCAATTAACTTAAATTCGATATCGATTGCAGTCATTATAACCATCAGCAAATATTTTAAATACGCCATCGTAAGGTGTTTGCAGTCCTACTTTGTGGATATATAAAGTATGGAATTGTGCGATTAGCCAGAGTCGCGGTATTAGTCGTTAATAAAATAATAGTTAATCGTTGTAAGTGGGTTCTAATAAAGTATAGTTAAAAGTAGTCAATCAGTGTTGTTTCTTAGAAGTGACAAGATATTTCAGCCAATATCTTTATTAAGAGCTCAAGGCATCCGAGGCCTACTTTTACTATAACCACCTCTCGGCAAGGCTGTATTGACAAGGAGGTCAATACCAACCGCGTTACCAACCAACCAGCATTACATTTCAATACACTCACGTACATATATTTTTTTTATCGGTCTCAAACGATTGGACATGACTTAAAATGTCGAGAAAACATAAAATTAGCAAGTCGGATATTCTGAAAATCTTCTTCTGAAAAATAAAATAATTTTATTGGGTAAATCATTATATTAGAATCATTGAATAAACATTAAATTTCTTTCATAATTTTATCATCTAATCGCTGTTATGGGGTGTTGACGTCGGATTCGAAGAAGTGTCAATAGAATCTGACACCATAGACGACACTTCGTCATCACTATCATCACCACTATATACGATATCAACAGCATCACTACTCAGATTACCATCATCATAAAGATACCCGGAAGGTGCCGCATCATTATCATTCCATGACCCATCCATGATGTCATAATCAGTTCTTGAGGTCTGCTCACTGGACGACGGCGTCGAAGATCTGACGGTTGAAGTAGCTATGGTGGAGACTCTCTTTACACGAGATGGTGGAGGATCTACTTCGCCATCGGAACCAGAAGGACCGTCAGCGCTATCTTTGAATAGCGACCGATTGTCATCGCTCTCGTCACTTGATATTGAGGATGATAGATCAGATGATGTCTCAGTTAGTTCTAAAAATCAATATCATTATTAACAATCTTAACTGCAAACATAAACAAAAAGATGACATTAATACTTTTTTTTTTAAAGACAGAACCAGCTATGTATTTTGGTCAATTTGTAAATCTTATATATACAAATGGAGCTCTCTTTCAAATGTCTAAGTAAAACTCGAAAACGGCTAAACCGATTTGGCCATTCTTAGTCTTGAGAAATTCGTGCCAATCCAGGGAAAGTCCAAAAGGTGAGATATTATTTCAAAATCGCGCAGAAACTTTACATTTTTAATTTGAAAATTTTTGTAGAAGCGCAATTTAAATAAAACAATGGACGGTGGCAAGTGTCAAAGGTTTTTGACAGATGATGTTCAAATACGTTTGATAGGATGTCTTACGTGAATATTATTTAATAATGATTAAATTGTAGTAAATTCTTTTGTTTGTAGTTTATTTGTACACAAAAACGTTATTAAACGGGCCTCAAGTGTTACCAGAAACTCAAAATATCAACCTTTTTGAAATGTTAATATGAAAATGCACTTTTTGGCATATTTTTCTCAAACACGGTGCTCTGAAAGATCTCATTTGTATAATTATATACTCATTGGTATTTATAAAACATTTTCTATGTTATATTATTTTTTATTTATGTTATTTAAATTCAGAACTTAAATTTGGTATCGATCAAATGGACATTTTGTCGAATAACATTTTCCCAGTTATAATTTCCCAGAATTTATTGAAAAATAGATAGTAATATATGAAGGTCCGGGGTTAAAAAGGTCCACCACCAATGTGTCAAAAATCAGTAAAGTTAAGCATTATTTAACAACAATATTTGAAAGTAGAGGAAAAAAGATGTATAACCAGCTACAACCTTTATTTGAAAGCGGTAATCTTTGAAATGGGGGAGATAAACGGTAATCTTTGAAAATCCATAATAAAAGTATTTTCTTCCGTTGGTAGTTTTTCAGCATTAGTTAAAAATGTAATTATTTTGTAAAATACCTTTAAAATTATAATAAGGTTTTAAACCTTTTTTCCACCTGTCCGTTTCAAGTTACTTCGCCTATATGGTAGAAAAGTCTGGATAACAAATTTTGAAAAACATCAAAAAAGCACATTTCTACAATGATGAAGTGGGAGGCAGTTTACTGAACGTAGTCAGATAATTGTTCGTTTGATATGTGTTATTTGTTGCGATATAATTGTTATGGTTTTAAATTTACTTTGATTCATCGAATGTTACTTGAAACTTTCCAAAAAGCAGGTCAAAGAAGAAATACTTAATTCATTTTCTATTATTTACAATTATACACAAAATCCAGAATCCAAAAGGAATCTGAAAAACTTGAAACGTAATCAATAAGTCGAAAGACCAAAACAGACTTGGATTGGATTATACCATGTTTTCTATAGAAAGTGTATAAATCTTCCAGTTTGATTGTATTGACAAAATATAGACAAATTAAAGGGGTTTATAGTTTTTATAATACTTCATTGTATATAGCATTCAAACAACACATCCTTAAAGTATTAATAATTTTAATTCTCTAGAATTGTTTAGAATATACCTTACTAAGCAAAACAACGTTTTCCGGGTCAACTAGTATAAAATAAAACTGGTATTAGTATTTTGCCTTGAGGTAAGTTACATGAACTTTCCAATATGTGTAAATAATCTACTTAATCAATAAAAAATAAATTAATTTATAAGTGATTAAAAGTATTCCGAGTGGATTTATTACACATAATTAAAAATGAACGAATACGGTATCTCGGAGTATTTTCTAGAAGCAAATTTTCACAAATCAGTAATTTTTATAATTGAACCAGTTTCCGTAAGACTTTAATGGTTTAGTATGTTCATCAAGACCAAGTACTCTATCGGTATACCAAGTAAATCGTCTAATTTTATCTTAATAATAATAATAATAATAATAATTAATTTTCTCAAACTTTGATGAATTTTAAAAATTAAAACCACTTATCGTAAGACCGTAATATTTCAGTAAGTTTTATAAGATCATGATATATATCGCCAAAAAAAGTTCCATAAAGCTCCAATTTTTTTTTTCAAATTCAAATGTAAAAATTTTCAATTTCGATTTTTGGACAATTACAATAACTTACTCCACGGAAAGTTAATAAACTATGTGTATAGTAAGCGAAGAACCAGCCAACCAATCAACAATTATAAATGGAACATGCAAAATATGAATTCTCAATTCACATACCGCTTTCGTCGTCCGGTTCTCGAAGTGACTTGGACGGTTCTATGATCTTGTCCGGAACCGGGACTCGGTTTGAGGGCCAGACCGGGGTTCGGGCCGAGGTCGGGTCAGAGTGAGCTTGGCTCCGCGTCGGGTCACGGGCTGGGGCTTTGGCCCGCGACGTGGATGGAGCTTGAGTCCGCGACTGGGCTGGATCTTGGGTCCGCGACTGGGCTTGTCCTTGGTTCCGCGCCTGGGCTTGGTTTCTGATCCTCTTTATGACTTTGGTTTGGGTTTGCGTCGTGGATAGGGTTTGGGTCCTAGGAGCTAAGGATTGGCTTCCCATCGGGGATAGGGCTTTGGTCTTCATCGTGGCTATGGCTTGAATTCCAATCGGGACTGCGGCTCGGGTTTCCATCGGAGCTATGGCTTGATATCCCATCGGGACTACGGCTCGGGTTTCCATCGGAGCTGAGTCTAGGCTTGGGTTTAGGGTTATTATCGAGAATCGGTCTTGGGTTCCTATCGAAGTTAGGTCTTGAGTTCTTATCGAGGCTTGGTCTTGGTTTCCGATCGGGGCTAGGGCTTCGGTGCCGTACGGTGCTAGAACTTGGCTTCGAGCCGATTTGCGGGTCGAGTCAGGTATTGGGGGCAGGGCCGGCAAAGGAATCGGGCCTGAGAGCGGGATCGGAATCGAGCGCGGGCCCGGAAGCGGGATCGGGTACGGGACCGGAAGCGTGGTGGTTGGCGGGCCCGGAAGCGTGGTGGTTGGCGGGCCCGGAAGCGGGATCGGGTACGGGACCGGAAGCGTGGTGGTTGGCGGGCCCGGAAGCGGGATCGCGGCCGACTCAAAGCTGTCTTGCTGTGCTCCCCCACGTAACTCGCTGATGGCGAGCGAAGGAGCGCGCCCCATCGCCCCAATCAACGGAGTCGTTTCATCGGCCATTATCGCTTCGGGCGTACCGTCTCTTTAGATAAATAAAATAGATATAAATCATCATCAAGTAAAAAATTAAATTAAATCTAATATTTAACTTCTCGTATGGTTTATGAATGCATAACAATTACACACATAAACACACACACACACACACACACACATATATATATATATATATATACAAAAAAATTTATTGTCATTAATAATGCTTATTGCTTACCTGTAAATATTATCGGTTAATGTGTATCTCCTCGCAAACGTTGCATAGTCTCCACAAGAATCTGCCGAAACTGACAATTCGTCGGCGCATTCAGGTACGCATTCAGGTGCAGGTTCAGTTGGACATACAAGTTCGCATTCAGCTTCGCATTCTACTTCGCAATCTACAGGCAGTTCTTCTTCTTCTTGGCATACCGAAAAATCGCATGATGAACGCTCGCCGTAGCTATAAAATAATAATTAGATAAGTAATTTAATCAAGTTCGAATAATATGTGAAATTATCAGAATTGTTGGCTGTGATGATAAGGTAATATGGGTGTTCTATAATGTAATGGTGGACGGGGTCGTGAGTTCAAACCACTCTGGACAACCCGACATCCTGGCAGCACCGATGTTCATTTACACTTGAAAATATAGATCAAAAATATGTTTTTAATGGCTATGGAAAATCTATCACAATGTTGTCACCTGAATCAAGTTGGAGTTTAACTCAACTTGCGGACCTGCCCTAGGGCAGTACTACCAAAATAAATAAGTTTGTAAGTAGCATTTTGCTATGTATAAACTCGCATGAACTTGCCGATAAGTCTGAATAATCGATTTAATCAAAAATCCTGAGTTATATATGGTCTACTTTCCCAACTGTTTATCTAACTACCTGCTCGCGTGTTTGCCTGTCTGCATTTCTGTCTACCAGTCAGTCTTACTATATGTCCTTTTACTAGTTTATGCCTATTTGTCTACTTGTCTATCAGGTCAACTGTCCACTGCTTACCTGACTTTATTATTCATTTCTAATATACCTGTCTATCTATATACCTCTCCTCCTGTACCTTTCTACATGTACCTATGTACCTGTCCACCTGTCTCACTACCTACCTATAATTCTATCTGTATATGAATCAACATTATTGTTGACTGTAATCATCATTTTTGACCACCAAATGGCATTTTTTCTGCATCTCCGAAACCGTTGGTCCTGCCGTAGCAAAAATGTAATCAGTACGTCTCGCTGTCAATACGAATCGAATGTTGCGTGAACGAAAAATTGTATACATATACAACACATACTATACACACCCATCCATTTTTTTCTAAGGTATTGCAAAATGTACAGGAAATTTTGATACGTAAAGATGGGCAAATATTTTGATGAGTGATCAATGAGTCAAACATTCAAAAAAACTGTAAATTTTTCGATTGCAAACAGAAAAAACATCGCAATAAAGTATGTGGATGATCCAGTAGTATTATCAAAAACGGGAACCAAATTGCTGACAGGAGAAAATGGTAGGAATTGGAGATCAACATTGACAAGATATGGAAGATGTGGATCATTTCCAATTTTAGGGAAGCAATGTAACTAAGAACGGACACTGCCCGAGACAAAAGAAACAAAATAAAATGGAATCCTTCCTCTCCTATAAGGAAACTGTATCTGCAAGTTAACGAGCAAATTGAATATGGACTTAGAAAAAGAACTCAATTGGGAACCAAATATATCAAAAAGATGAGATGAGTGAACTGGACCTTAATTTATAGTATAAACTTATATAATGCTATACTTGAAATAAATATCTGTGCAAATTAAAGACATGAACTCCATGATAAATCAATAAAATAGACTTCAAGGGCTTCAATATGTGATTCTGGATAATTATGAAAAAGATAAATGGACCAGCAAGGTAACAAATAAAAAACTACTGCCAAAAGTTAAATTACATCTACTGGATATAATGATTGAGAAAAGGGAAGAAAACTGGAATCAACCCATATTGGGAAATGATTGTCACATTGTCATGGAAGAAAAAGGAGAAACGAGATAACTACTTATGCCAACTACTTACGAGAGAACTACTTATGCCAACAGATAAGATAATAAAGATAGAATACAGAGAATTAAAAGTCGAGCACAAGACATTGTAGCATAAAAACAGAAGTTTTAAGAGTAAAAAGTGATTAACAAATCAAAGACGGGTAAATTAAATGTCGTCCTCTGACACTGTTAATCTGCAATCGAGCAGAATACCAATAATAATAATTAATTTAAATAATTTAAAAACAGTATTTTATTCACCAATTGTCCACTAAATGTCCTTAATATCCTTACGATTAGATCAAATCAACGCCTAAATCAATAATTCCATCACCATCATATTAAATTTGACAACCTCTACTTATTGTGTAATATAAATACTATGAGAAATGTATGAAAATTATTAAAATAATATTTAATCTTTAATCTAATTAATTAAGTTGTATCCATTACCATCTCTGTGGAGCGTTCAGTAATTTAATAATAATACAAAAAAATAACATGAGTCTCTTAATAACATTCTTGCCTTGTCTTGCTTAGTTTAAAAGCTACAAGTGAACTGACAGGACCGCATTTAGAAAAAATATTCAATAATTATAAAATATAGAAATAGAATAACATAGTAATTAAATGAATATTGAAATAGTATAGCACTCGCAGTAAAAAATAAAAAAATACAAGTTACATGATGAGTGATGTTGCGAAAACAATATTTGTTTAGAATTTATTAATCAGCAATTCCTACTTTTCTCTGATGAAGGTTCAAGTTCTAAATGCTAATTACAATGACAAACCGATCATGTCATATTTGAAGTATGACTTTAACTGCATTATTGTTTTTAAATATTATACAAATTTTTAATGCTATTATAAATATATAATTTATAATTTATCATTATATAAATGTGTATAATGGTTGACACTAATAAATGTGTGCATCGCGAGTGTTACCATATTACTAATGAACATTATTTAAAATTGTTATATGATTTATTTTTAATTAAATGCCGTCTTGTACAGTAGCAAATAAGTTTTACTTCAATCGCGTGTGAACCTTACGCTCACTCTTTTTTATTTTATATTTGGATTAAATATTGGTAAATAAAAATTAAAAAAGGGGTTGATTTAAAATATCACCAATTTTGATTTTTCACGTACTACGTATATTTATAGTTTTATTTAGTTGTTAATTGTACGTTAATATTAAAGCATAATTTAACCCTAATATTTATATTGAGCATAGAAATGAAAAACGTTATTCAATTTTCCTATTAGACCCAAACAAATCAAATTGTTGCGAACAAATAACTTATATATAATAATTTAATATCAATTAAATAATTAATAATAAATATTTCAAATATGAATTTTCTCCCCGGGGGTCCTTAAATACGGGCCTGTCCTTATTGTTAATTAAGTTTCGGCCAAGAAGCAGTCGGCCATGTATAAATAATAACGCAAAATGTCTTAGAATTGCTAATAGCAAAAAATTTATGCATTTAACTCAATATATATGTTGCATGCGATACGAACGAACGAAACGGAATCATTTATTCCTTAAATGATAATAAAAAAAAATTTGCATATTAAATTAATTAATAAATTAAACGAGTTGGCAATTGGTAGATTTACCTATTAATACAATCCATGCAGACGGTACACAATACGATGAGCAATGCGCAAATGACACCCATTGCCTTTTGGAACCAAAAATCGGAAAAATATACATTTTTTTTTAAATTAAATATCCGATTTGAATTGTGACAATTTTCATATATAAATTTAAATTTTTTATTTTATTGTAAATCATTTGAATTTTCTTGAAATTAGTTTTATCCAAATTTTGCTCTAAAATCTAAAATTTATAGAATGCGAAAGTGCTAATCCTGATAATTATATAAAAAAACTAATAACTAACTTTCCGTAGGGTAAATTATAGTAACCTCAAAAAAAATAAAAATTAAAATTTATGCATATCTTTACTTTTCAAAGGTTTCTGAACATTTTGGCATTTCTAAAATAGGCCAAAATGTTCAGAAGGTTTAGAAACGTAAAAATATAAAAACAAATTTTAGATTTTTTGTGATTAGAGGAAAGTCACCAAATATGGAATAGTATCCTAATATGAAATATCCTAATTTATCCTATAAGTAATAAACGCAATACTCGACCATCTTTTGTTTGCTTGGAAATATAGATAGCAATATATTTCCAAATGAAATTAGCCCTTCCTCGGCATTGCTGCACCAATAGAAAGTCAGCCTTATTAGATTAATTCTAATAACAAAAATCATCAAATATGGATGGATTAACCATTGGGTTACTATCTAAAAAATACGAAGTAAGGAGAAGTTTCAGCCCAACAGCTCATAGGACGTAAAGTTCTGATTGCTGTTAAAAATATTAAAAAAAAATCTTTTGTTTCATTCAGTCTACTAACTATCGCACTCACACCATCGAGTCAGTTGCGCAAAACGCTTCACGTGTAGCAGGGGCGTTTTGTTTTGTTGTCGTGAAGAAAGTTATGCACTTTTTTCAAAGCGCTGAAAGAAGTTCAGCGCGCTGCATAGCTGTTTCGGAGACGGAATTACCATTTCTTGAAACGGCTGGACCTTTCTGTGCCAAAAACTAATCAGAACGTCTCTCCATCAATACAAATCTAATATTTTTTTAATTATTCAAGTCGATTTCGAGAACACGGATCAACCGATTTGAATGATTCGATTCCAATTGATAAGAAGACGTGTTATTTAATTATTGGCCAAGGCAGGTCCAAATGTTTCGAAGATTCGGGCCAGAATTACAAAAATGATAATTCAGTTATTGAGAAACGGAGCGTCCAATGTCATTAAAAAATGTACATGTATTGACAAAATGAAGAACTGCTCAAATTTGTGGAAGGCACGTCTAGCGGTTTCGGTGATCCAATAAACAAAATTGGAAAAGAAGCATTTGGCGATCAAAAGTGATTATTAGACACATGCACATCAAATTATCAGATATTTTAATGATAAGTATAAATTTTGTATACATTTCTATGGGTTCTGTAACAGCGCTTACACGCTTCTGTATTTTGTGTCTGCGCAGCTGAAGGAGCTCGATTGCTTTAAAAAAGTACAAAATTTTTAACATATTTCAAAATATAAAAACACAAATTTTTTGAAAAGTCAATTTTTTTTCAGTTTTCGATACGGAAAGTTGCAGCACTTTGCCATAAGAGACGATGCCAAGCACCACTATTTATAGTATGTAATGCGTAATACATTTTCTGCAATCAAATAGTTATTTTAATTTTTAAAAAAATATATATAAAAACTATTTAAGTAAAATGTCAGGGATGAGGCGGCATTTTTGTCAGTGCCCCAGGGCGCCAAATTTCTAAATCCGGCCCTGCTTATATTCCATATATGGCTTTCTATTCCATATTTGGTTACTTATTCGTGATATTGTGTTATGTGTTAGATTTCAATTTGATAACTAATATATTTGATTAAAGGCTGTTAATTACTACATATAAATGTATGCCTGATTGGTAAAAACATTAAACTGATTTGATTAATATGAAGTCTTTTTTATATCCCAAAAACAAAATGTTATTCCATATTTGGTGACTTTCCTCTATTATATAACTCACCCTACGGGTTAAAGGTAGCATGTGAAAAAACAAACAAAAGAGGTATTTCCTAACCGCGACCTTAAAAATTGGCAATCCAGAAAAATCATCGATACTACCAATATTTTATTAAAGGATACAAATATCGCAGCCATCCGAGTACGCAGCTCCGCATCACTGAGGTGTTTCCAACCCCTGTTGGGAGCGGTGCACAAGTGCACGACCCCTACGCCCATGCCTACATACTCCCGATCGAATGGAAGAGCCTCGTAGCCCGGATCGCAATCGCAGCCGCCGCTCTTGTTATTGAATACGCCATGGTGACATACTACACTCTGGAAAAATTCATTAATACATGTGATTTTGTAATTAAAGGTCGAGTAATTAGAGCATTGTTAATGTTATGAATATTATACAAGTAGTGCCTGGCATCGTGCCTGACAGCAGGAACCAAAAAAAAATTTTTTTTAAGAGATTAACATTTTTGAAAAAAAATTACTCTGAATAAATTAGATTTTTGAGAAACTATAAATTTTTGACAAAAATTTACTTATTTTTTGAGAAAAAAAGACTTTTTGAAAAAAAATTTATTTTGAAATATTTTGGAAATTCTGAACTTTTTTTCAAAGCAATCGTACTGCTTTAACTGAACGAAATATGATAACTGATAGAGACAAAATATCGAAGCGCGTAAGCGCCGCGCCGCCGTCTAACGGATAAATACTGGTACGGAACCCATAGGAATGTAAACAAAATTTATACTTATTGTTAAAATCTCTATAAAATATCTGATAATTTCATGTGCATATGTCTAATGATCATTTTTGACCGCCAGATGGCATTTTTTTTTACTTTTTTTACTAGATCTCTGAAACCGCTCGACTCGCCTTCTTGAAAATTTGATCAGTTCTTCATCTTGCGATACAAGTAAAATGTTTTTTGAATTATTCAAATCGGACGCTCCGTTCTCTTAAAAATTGAGTTACCGTTTTTGCCACTTTTTGCCCTATATCTTCGGAACGGCTAGATCTGCCTCCGCCAAAAACTAATCAGCATGTCTCCTTATCAATTTGAATCGAATTATTCAAATCGCTTCATCTGTGTTCCCGAAATCGTCGACGAAAATTTGTATTCGCGCACACATACACACACGCACACACATACACACACACATACATACAATTTTTCTAAGGTATGCCGAAATATTCAGAAACCTCTTAAACGTAAAGATATATAAAAATTTTTAATTTCGATTTTTTTTGCGATTACTATAACTTACCCTACGGGAAGTTAAAAAAAAATTTTTAGAACTTTGAAAAAAATAGATTCATGAAAATTTTGAAATTTTTGAATAAAATTTGACCTTTTTGAAAAATTAGATATTTAACTTCCCGTAGGGCAAGTTATAGTAATCGCAAAAAAATCGAAAATGAAAATTTTTATATATCTCTACGTTTCAGAGGTTTTTGAACATTTTGGCATACCTTAGAAAAAATGGATGTGTGTGTGTGTGTGTATGTATGTATGTATGTACGTGTGTGTATTGTTGTGCGCCAGCACCCTTATATTTAATTATTCACTTATCTATGCTCTATGGACTCATCATCCCTCTATGGTGTTGTGTGTCAGCACCCTTATATTCAACACTTTGCTGTACCGGACTCTATGGAACCGGACTCTACCGTCACTCTATGGAATACGTGAACTACAACCCTTCAGGATACCGCTCTATATTTGAGCTCTATGGGCAATATTTCCGGCTCGAACGGGAGCCTCTAGGATGACGTGAAGGCCGGCACTCTGTTCCTAACCTCAGTGGCATACATTTGAACGCATTAATCATATATTAAATATAATGTTGTTTGTCTGAAATATATCTTTGTGAAAGTTGATAGTTTTCTTCAATAAATACCTCCTTCGCTAAAGCAAAAATCCTAACAGTATGTATGTGCGGATACAAATTTTCGTCGACGATTTCGGGAACACGGATCAACCGATTTGAATAATTCAAAAAACATTCGATTCGTATTGATAAGGAGACGTGCTGATTAGTTTTTGGCGAAGGCAGGTCTAGCCGTTTCGAAGATACGGGGCAAAAAGTGCCGAAAACGGTAACTCAGTTTTTAAGAGAACGGAGCGTCCGATTTGGATAATTTAAAAAACATTTTACTTGTATTGACAAGATAAAGAATTGCTCAAATTTTCATAAAGGCAGGTCTAGCGGTTTCGGAGATCTAATGAAAAAAGAAAAAAAAAGCGATTTGGCGGTTAAAAATGATCATTTCTATGGGTTTCGTACCAATGCTTTTCCGTTAGACGGCGGCGCGGCACTTACGCGCTTTGACATTTCGTCTCTATGCAGTTCAAGCAGTACGATTGCTTTGAAAAAAAGTTCAGAATTTCCAAAATATGTCAAAATGAAGAAAACATTTTTCTTTTCAAAAAAATTTTGGTTTCAAAAAAAAATTTTTTTTTAAAAAGTAATTTTTTGTCAAGTTTATAGTTTCTCAAAAATCTAATTTTTTCGAAGTAAAATTTTTTCAAAAATGTTAATCGTTTTTAAAAAAATAATAATTTTTGGTACGGAAAGTTCCAGCAATTTGCCTTAAGGCACGGTGCCTTAATTGCCTCAAGACAGAATTCCACTTACAACTAGTCTTCAACTCCAACTATTACTGTAATTAAAGTTAATAAAGTTTGTCTATTAGTCTGTAAGGACTTAAAGTGTTTTTCCTCGAATAAATCTCCGCTGCAACTGCAAGGCAACATTACACAACAGTGTACAGCTCAAATATTATTTATTTCATCCCTTACAAGAATAATGATTAAAAATCAAATTCATAACCTTAGTATAAGGTCAGTATAAGAAAATCTTTTATCTAATCCGGTATCTTCCGCATCAGCATAATTTCTTCCGCCCTCGGTTCCATTTATTTTAAATACATGTATTAACATCGAGTCGCCGCCGCGCTCGGTAGTCATGTAGAAAAGGTAGAAGCAGTTGCCGCAGCAAAAAAAAAGACGTCACGCAATATTTTTGCTTCAATTAATAATTTTGGAATTCGCTGCGCCGCATCAATTACATTCGAAACGGATCGTTTTGGAGAAATAAAAAGCGGGAATTTAATGTGGCGATCGGTGGAAATATTTACTCAGGGTAATAGACATAGGGTAAGAAGGGGGAGTAAAGGTCAAATTTGACTTTGGGCAACTGAATTCTGAAAACCAAACCAATTGTATCACTACAAATAACGCATGTCAAACAAGCAACTATCTGACTATGTTCAGTAAAACTCCCAGCTAATTCTTCACTGTAGAAATGTTTTTTTTTGCTGTTTTTCAAAAATTAGTACCTGGTCCTTTTTACCCCAAAGAAGCTAAAATGAAAATAGCCAGAAGGTAAACAAGTCCAATGTCTTATTTTAATTTCAGAGGAATTTTACAAAATAATAGCATCATTCAACCAATGCAAAACATAAATTTCATGGGTACATTTTTTACAAAGATAACACTGTATACAACCTTGATCTAGTATTTTGTCAGATATATTCATCAGCATACTTGAACTAACTATTTATTTAATTTATCTCTTGTAAAATTGTTTTTTTAACTTAAATTACTGTTTTATTTTCCATTTTTTATTCTTTACACTTTTGCCAGGGTAAAGGTTTACTTGGTCCTTTTTACCCCACCCTAAGCATTTATAGAGGTTACATAAAAAAACGGTTGAATCTAACTTAAAATCAACAATACATTTTAAAACAATTAAATAACGTATACTTAAACATTATATTCAGGTCTCGTAAACTAAATAACAGTGCTCACAACCAAAACAAGTGACAATAAAAGAAAACTCTACTTTTAAATATTGTTGTTAAAAAATTTGTAACTTTACTGATTTTTGAGATATCGGTGGTGAACCCTTTTACCCGTGGACCTTTAAACCCCACTCTACCCTACATATTGCCTGAATTATTAGATTAAGGAATCGATTCTGCCTCACAACAGACAAATGTTATGGCAAGGCCATGTTGCGTTCCAACTTCCATACATTATGCTACTGAATCATACTGAATACTGCTAAAATGTCATGTATTTGCTGTGCATTCAGGCGTTTGACACATAAACTGCAACGTCACGCGTATGTTATGAAGCTGGGTCAGAAAGACCCTGTTATCTAAGATAGTTTTTAGACATTTGTGCGGTTTGTAGGTTATGTTTTTTATCTGACAACCTGAGAAAAAAGTCTGACTGCACAGCAACCATATGGCTTTTGTCAATATTAGTATAGAAAGTTCTTCATAACAAAGCCTTGCCATAACATTGGTCTGTTATGCAGCGGAATCGGTCCCTAAATTAATTTAGACTAATCTCACCCAGATATAAAGAATAATCTATATTTGTGATAATTATTAGAAAAATAATAATGAAGTCATGACTTATGGTAATTGTTATCTTGAATGAGTATATCAGCCCTACGGACTCCATGTCTATGGCCCTTCACAACATACTGTTTTACCCTTTAATATGTTCATTTTGAAATTCAGAGATTCGTTATCATATGCTTTTATTTTATAATTTTTGTTCATTCTTATTTTTATCGTCGTGTCGCGTGTCTTATTTTCAATGCAAAATAATCGAGTTAATGTTTGCGACCGAATTATTATTGTCTTAATGACATGTTCGGCTCGCGAAAAGCAGATGGTGGAAACGGAACACCATCAATTTTTGTTTATTGGAGTTGCAAAGATTTAGATGTCAATTGGGGAATTTTATATCTTTGCCGGGACTTTTTATGTTCTAGATTTACGTTTTCGAGGCGTTTTTAATTCATCTATATGTACTCATAAGTAAGCACATCATGGTTCTGAACACCAGCGCAAACTATCCATTTTCATAAATGAAAACGATTTTTAACTTCTCTTAGGGTAAGTTATGCAAAAAAAAATATTTTCGATTTTTTGGGATTGCTATATCTTTACATTTCAAAGATTGGCATACCTTAGGAAAAACTGATGTATGTGTTCGGACGTATTTTCGTTTTATTATATTGGCCATGAAGGTGACAATCTTCATGGCATCGAGCTTTTACACGGGATGGTTGCTACACCTGGTGGAGGGAGTAGCGGAGTGTTTTAATTGAACTAGTTGTTCATTCTAAAAGTAAAGTCCGCTTAACAACATGTATAATAAATAATAAATAAATATATCTTCTTTCATTATAACTTAGTAACAAATCAGTGATTGTAATTAGAATTGCAACAAATACATAATATACAAACAAATCAGTGTTTAATACAGTCCACAGCTACAAGGATTAAATTATAACCCAACAACCTGAGTTATTCAAAACAGAGTTTCAATAACATATTTCATAACTACGTAACATAATTACAGTATGTGTGTGTATATATGTGCGGATACAAATTTTTATCGACGTTTCCGAGAGCGTGGATCAACCGACTTGAATGATTCAAAAAACATTCGATTCCTATTGATGGGGTGATGTGCAAAGTTTTTGGGAAGGCAGATTCACTTTGGGTTTTTTAATATGAGTTTTGCTCCAAAGACCGAATACCGAATATTAGGCAACTATTCGGCGGGCATTTTGCGCCTAGTTTAAACAAATGCCTTCCATATTTTCGACAGTAAATGTTAAATGGGTTTCAACATTTTCAAAAAAATCGATGGCATTTTCAAATTGTCTATTTTTTCCGATACGAGAAATTATTTGTAAAACTTTTATCAAAAGGAATTACACTAATTAATTAATTAGTGAAAAATAATTAAGAATTTTATTTTGCTTTAGAGGATCTTAGGATTCCTTATCCTATGAGCTTTAGTACTGAATTTTTAAGCAACGTGTTTTTTCATAGATGGCAACTCACTGATAATTTTTTTATTGATACATCAACGCCGACAAAAGGTTATTTCCACATGAAAAGATATTTCTATGATAGCAATACTATCTATATTTTCGAATGAAAACAGAAGTCGTAACTGCTTGACGTCAAGCTGTCCGAGGCCAGTATCAAACCTGGAACCTCTGATTAATAGTCGATATCTCTAATCTCTGAACTAATACAGGTAACTTAGCCTTTAACACAACAAGCCCATTATTAAAATAAAAGATAATAAAAAGTTAGTAAAAAAAATATACACGTATGTCAACGCATTCTTCTCCAGCGAAACGTCTCTACTGATAACACATAATATTTTCTTGAAAATATATATTATTACATTTCTATAATCCAAAATTTATACATCCTTCGAGCATTTTTACTCGCGTGCTATAAGCCTGTATCAATTTTATAAGCAAAGATAATCTTTAAAAGGAAAAAAGCCGAAGGGAAACAAACGAATTTTAAAAAGGGATATATAATGAAGTATGCAAATAACCTCGGGCTGCAGCGGACATTGATAACTGCAAAAAAATTATCTAACTCGTTAAAGATTTTCATTAGGCTTGCAACAAATAGTATATTCGGCATAATGCCGAATACCGAATATTCGGCATGCTCCAGAGACCGAATACCGAATATTCGGCAACTATTCGGCAGGTTTTGGCGCCTAAACTCGTTTGTATTAATATAATTACTATTTGCAGTTGTTATATTAGTAAGCCGCTACATGTATATTCGAATTTTAATCCTATGCTTGCAACTTGCAACAACTATTCGGTTACTTCTAATTTGGAAAATTTGGCTTCATATACACTATTTGGCCGAATAGCGAATACATACTTGTAACATGGTAAATAGATTTATTAGTATATTTTCATTATTTTTTTTATAAAGTTGTAATATTTTCTTTTATAAACACTGTATCATTTCTTATGTATTATTATTATTAAAAAAAGCTTATCATAATAAAATAAATAAAAACTGATCGAAAATATTGTTTCCATTTCGAATACAATTAATGATTTTATTGTATTTTGATACAGCACACGTGTGTAACTTGTAAATGATTCATATTAAATAACAAACCTATAACAATAACGTATTCTTTGAATATTCAGAAAATAGTTTTTCACGTGTTCGTTTATAATCTTCAAAGCCGATAAAGCTTAAAATAACGAATTTATTACTTTATATCATATTACATAAACTAAGGGACCGATTCTGCCGCACAACAGATAAATGTTATGGCAAGGCCATGTTAAGCTCCAACTTCCATACATTATGCTACTGAATCATACTGAATACTGTCAAAATGTCATGTATTTGCTGTGCATTCAGCCGTTTTACACATAAACTGCAACGTCACTCGTATGTTATGAACCTGAGTCAAAAAAACCCTGTTATCTACATTGTTTTTTTTGGCATTTGTGCGGTTTCTAGGTTAGGTTTTCTATTTGACAACCTGAAAAATACGCTTGACTGCCCAGCAACCACATGGCTTTTGTTAATATTTAGTATGGAAAGTTCTTCACAACATGGCTTTGCCATAACTTTGGTCTATTATACGGCAGAATCGGTCGATAAATATAGATCCATTGCTCTTTATCGCATAAAAGATGAAACACAAACAACACGTCGCTGAACGGCGGCGGCTACTCCTTTGATTTTCATTATTCGGTATTCGGCCGAATATCAAAAAAGATGCCGAATACCAAATAGTGACCGAATATTCATATTGGTCCATCACAATCAATAATTACCATATAAGGATCTGTCCGTGTCATATTGATCGTAAGGTGTGTCTCCATAAGCATTGCCCTCACATCATCTTGCGTTAGGTTAGGTTTGACTGATGCACAAACGTTTGTATCGGGGTGATAAACCTGTAGGTAATAGAAATAACTAGCTGTAAGTGAAATTCTGTCTTAAGGCAATTAAGGCATCGTGCCTTAAGGCAAATTGCTGGAACTTCCCGTACCGCAATTCAAAATTCGAGTAATTAAAAATAATCAATAATAATAATCAATAAAAGTTGATCAATGATTTAAAACTTTTAATAGAATTTCAAACCATATTAAATCATTCTATTTTAAATCATTTATTTCGAATTTTTTTTGAAATTCTGAACTTTTTTCAAAGCAATCGTACTGCTTTAACTGCATAAAGACGAAATATTGAAGCGCGTAAGCGCCGCGTCTCCCTCTAACGCGTAAACATTGGTACGGAACCCATAGGAATGTGAACAAAATTTATACTTATTGTTAAAATCTCTGATAATTTGATGTGCATATGTCTAATGATCATTTTTAACCGCCGAATGGCATTTTTTTCACTTTTTTCATTAGATCTCCGAAACCGCTAGACCTGCCTTCATGAAAATTTGACCAATTCTTCATCTTGTTAATACCAGTAAAATGTTGTGTGTGTGTTCGGAAACAAAATTTTTGTCGACGATTTCGGTAACACCCATCAACCGATTTAAATAATTCAAAAAGCATTCGATTCGTATTAATAAGGACACGTGCTGATTAGTTTTTGGCGAAGGAAGGTCTAGCCGTTCCGAAGATACGGGGCAAAAAATGCCAAAAACGGTAACCCAGTTTTTAAGAGAACGAAGCGTCCGATTTTAATAATTCATAAATCATTTTAAAAAGAAAAAAAATGCCATTTGGCGGTCAAAAATGATCATTAGACATATGCACATCAAATTATCAGATATTTTATAGAGATTTTAACAATAAGTATAAATCTTGTTTACAATCCTATGGGTTACTATGTGAAGCGGCGCTTACGCGCTTCGATATTTCGTCTCTATGCAGTTAAAGCAGTACGATTGCTTTGAAAACAAGTTTAGAATTTTCAAATTATTTCAAAATACACCTTTCTTCAAGAAGTCTTTTTTTTTCAAAAAAAAAGTAAATTTTTGTCAAAAATTTATAGTTTCTAAAAATCTAATTTTTTTAGAGTAATTTTTTTCAAAAATGTTAATCTTTTAAAAAAAAAATAATTTTTAGTACGGGAAGTTCCAGCAATTTGCCTTAAGGCACGATACCATGCGCCTCACTAGTTGAATTTTTAAAATTGATTCAATATTGTGGACAAAAACGTGGAAGTAAAATTTCGCACATACTTTTTCCTTAGGTCTCATTCGATTCAGAATGGCTTGAAATTTCGAGAAAACATAAAATTAGCGAATTGGATTTTTTGATAAAAACAAACTTCTCCTTCGGGAAGTTAATAAGGTCTATGTCTCACTCACATAATTTGGCAAGTCCTCCTCCTTGGAGGTGGAGATACAGTGCGGGATCCTCGAGCAGCGCCCCGTGTTTTTGTCGAAGAAACTCCTGTAGCCGCAATATCGCTTCATACAGTCGTACGGGCGACAATAGTCGAGAGGATTCAAATCGGGATTATCGCATAACATGAAATTATTAGGATCGAAATAATCTACAAAGTTAAAAGTAATTATATACAAGACACTGCTGTACGACCCAGCGAGTTGCTCAGCACCGTTACTGAACAGACCAGGCAGAGCATCACAGCATGTTTCAAGATTTTTCAATCATTACACTGGTCCACAAAGATAAAGAAAATGTCTGTCAAAATTGAGGATCAGATGGCAAAGAATTGAAAAAAAAATTAAAAACACAAGGTCTCCGATCTAGTAGTTCTTCTGCATAATAATCAAAATCTTATAATTTCTGTCGTTTTCTATTGAGTATTCACTAGGGTTTGTCGGTTTTCAAAAACCGGTTTTAAAAACCGGTTTTTTCGGAAAATTATGGGATTCAAAAACCGGTTTTTTAGTGAAAAAAGTCGGTTTTCGCTGTATAAATGGAAAATGACAAATATAGCCAAATATAAAAGATAGATGAAAGCGTTTTGATTTTTGAAATCATATCGGTTCAATAGAATTTTATATCTCTCAATAGAAGTCTGAAAGAAATGTTTTGTATATATTAATTTAGATTTTTATACCAGTGTATATATTAATTTAAATCAGTGTGACTTCTTCTTGAAGAAGTAACTTCTACTACTCAAACTTAAAAAAAGAGTTTTAAACCCTAGACGCCACAAATTAAAAAACAAAAAAATTATATCAGGCTTTAAAAATAATTAAGCATAATTTGGTCGCAAGTATGAGGGTATTTTCTATTTCAGGAAATTTTGTGAGTAAACAAAGGACACATCTAAGTAGCAATTCGATAGACGTTCTCAGTTTTTTGGAATCATATTTTATTAAACAAAAAACAATTAAAATGTTTAAAATTAATTAATTAAAATTTCTCGGAACAGACAATACCCGAGTTTAGCTTAATTGCTTTTAAAACTAAAATTGATATTAACAAATATGTATCAACATGTATCTAATATTTTTTTTACTTCTATTTTTTAATTTAATGATTTTTTTTAATTTATAAATGTATTATTTTTATTTATTCGAAAACTATCCTTTCACTATCATAACAATTTTTTCATTCTTACATGTGAAAATGATGCATGAATAACGAATGATTATTTTCAAAGTTATTTAATCAAGATAAACTATTATTTTTTACTTCTACTAATTAAAATTGAAATAATTTTGTTTACTATCTATAAAATTGAACAATAAATAATTCTACTCATTACACTAAATTTCCGGATAAATTACAGAATATTCGAGCAAAAATTTATTTTCTATATAAAATTCGAAAACCGGTTAAAACCGATTTTTTAGTGAAATTAAAATTCGAAAACCGGTTTTCTGAAATGTCGGTTTTTGTATAAACCCTAGTATTCACTTAACCTGGTTATCAAGTTTTTTTTGTAGAATACAGTAGTATTTTGCCAACACGTTTTCAGATAATCAAATTGAAAACATGGTTGCAGATTACCCAGGGCAATGAGAAGAAAATATGTTTACAAATTACTGCTGAATTATAAAAACAAAACAAAAATAGATTATTTAATTGAAACTAAATCATTTAAGTCAAAAGGGGCCAGGAAACGAGAAAAATTATAATTATTTTTTCATTTTTTGCGATTTGACCCCAACTTTGACTTCAGATTCGTGTTCAGCGATAAAAACTAAATTGGAAAACATATGCCGCACACCCAATACAGCCAACTTTTTTTATTTTGTGGACCTGTGTTATCAATAACAATATGTTTTAAAAAAATCAAAATTACACTTTTGATGAACTAAAAATTATAATAACAAATTATAATTATCAATTATTTAACTGATGCTAATGATTTCATTATTTAATTAGTTATAAATATTGAAACATGAAACGATACACTGAATGTCGTCTATAGACGACACCCGTAGAAAGAGAACATCATCCTGATGCCACCTATAGGCGACACTCAGAGAAAAATGATTAATTGATATCATCTTGACTGTTAATAATAATAAAATAACTTTCTAAAAATTGTATGAATTTTTTTTTTCAAATAATCATATATATATATATATATATATATATATATATATATATATATTAGGGTGGTCCTTAATATGGACATTTTCGAATTTCCTGGCTCTCAAAGGCTCAAATGGTTCCAAATCGATAAAAAACAATTCTCTGAAAGTTTTAGCTCTTAATATTAACTTTTAGTGCGCAATTCAATCAAATTTCGTATGGAAATAGCAGGGAAAAAAATTTGAAAATTAAAAAAAAACAATTTTTTAGGTATAACTTAGCGATAAATAATTTAAAAATGAAAATTTGTGTCATTTTTTATTGAAAATTCGACGCTCTACAAAGTTTTTGAATTGTTTTTTATCAATTTGGAACCATTTGAGCCCTTGGGAGCAAGGAAATTCGAAAATGTTCATATTAAGGACCACCCTATATATATATATATATATATATATATATATATATATATGTGTGTAGGTATATTAAGACGGGTCGATTTGTACGGGTAAAAAAAGTCGCATAGGCACATGTGATTTTCGGATACTAGAGATCAAAATAAGATACTTTGCCGAAGAAACCATGTCTTTAAAATGAATTTTGATGTCCCGTGCATTGACCCAAAGATTGGGTCAAATTTTGAAAATTCCTGTTTTGGCTCATTTAGAGCGCCCCAATAGTGTCCAAATGTATGACCGACCCCCACTAACTTTGGAAGGCCGATCTACCCATGCCCATGGTTCACCCTCTGGGACCTCTCTTTAGAGGTTCAACGATGGGCATGGGTGGATCGGCCTTCCAAAGTTAGTGGGGGTCGGTCATACATTTGGACACTATTGGGGCACTCTAAAACGAAAATTTTCAAAATTTAACCCTTATCTTTGGGTCAATGCACAGGACATGAGAATTCATTTTAGAGGTATGGTTTCTTCAGCAAAGTATCTTATTTTTAAATCGACCCATCGACCTGCCCTAATTGTACATATATAAACAATTTGTTTTTTTATTGAAAGGTTCGGAGATAGTAGGAGAGACTGGGTACGGTTGTGCCAGGGTACGGTAGCGTAAGACGTCGTAAAAGCTAAACTATAGTGAGAAGATGAAAGTATGTTTGTTCGAACAAGTTTCCGTTATTGCATTGTGGCGGCGCCCTACATTAATATGATCTATAGATCGCATGGCTTTTGAAAAGTCAAAAGTAAGTTTATATGTCCGATTTCTTTTAATAATAACTGTTAATTGTATACAAATAGATTACATTGTTTGTTATTTTGCTGTAATTAGTTTTTGCGTAAATAATTTAGCTTAGTCATAACGATGATTTGTTTTTTCGGAGTAAGATTAAATAGATAGAGAAAAATCTAACTCAACTAAGACAAAATACGAAAGAGAAAGTCTAAAGAAAATTCAATACCAGGAAATAAAAGGTTTCACAAAAATTTTTAGTAAACCTTGTACAAAAAATATGTTTTGTCATATATTGATATATTATATTCATATGCTTTGTTAAAATGATTATGTTGCATTGTGTTACATAATTATGACAATAAAGCCGTTATAAGCCATTTTAGTGTTTATATCTATGGTTTTTTAATCAATTTTTATGCCTGTCACAACCTTCCTAGAATTTTTATCCAGCTATCTGGTAAATTAACAAAAAAAATGCTGATCAAGAAAAAGTGGCACAACCGTACCCAGTGTCTCTCCTACAGCTGTATTATATTGGCAGGTATAAAATTGATAGTACCTCAATAAAAATGATAAAAAATGTAATAAAATATGTTCACACAAATTAAAATGATAAAAAATCTGTAAATTTATATAAAATGATCGACGATATAATTACTTGCTACCAATGGTGGTGGGTTAACATCTATTGTGGTATTAAATCGGATTTTAACCCTTAAAGCCCTCGCCTCTGGTGCAAATTTACACTGATAATAAATACCAACAACGCAGTAACCTTCACGATTTTGTAGAAACTGAAAATAAAATTATTATTAGTATAAACTAAGAATAAAAGTACAAGTAATTTGTTAAATATACACCAAAACAAACATTGTAAGTTACACTTTGCCATAAGGCAAACGAACCTCCTGATATGACAAATATGTTCATTAATATGATTTAAATTTCAAAAATTGTGAAAAATAGCGTTTCAAGTCATTCTGAATTGATTGAAACTAAATTTGAACTAGTGGTTTATGGCATCGTGCCTTGAGACAAATTGCTGGAACTTTCCGTACCGTAACGAAAATAGAAATAGATTATTATAAATATTGTAACATTGTCTAATATTTATAAGAATTATATGTACTGAATTGCAATGTTAAAATTATTTGTTCAAAGTGGATAAGTGAGCTATAAAACTTTAATCAGAATTAAAATTAAAATCTGAATTATTTTCGATATAGAAAAAAATTAAAATAATTTTTTTTCTAAAAAGTAATTGTTTTGTCAACACAAGCAAAAAGTTTTTTCAATCAATCAAATCGGATGCTTAGTTCTCTTAAAATATGCCATTTTTGTACATTTAACTCTGTATCTGAAATGACTAGACCTGTCTTAGTCAAAAAATAATCACCTATTCTCCGAATCATTACAAATTGAATGTTTTTTTAGATCATTCAAATCGGATACTCCATTCTCTCAGAAACTCGATTTCTATTTTCTGCACTCTTTGCTTCGTATCCTCGTAACGGCTGGACCTGCCTTTGCCAAAAACTGATCAGCACATCTCCCAATCAATAGGAATCGAATGTTTTTTTTAATCATTCAAATAGGTTGATTAAACATGAACAAAAAATGCGGACACACAAAACACACACACACATCCATTTTTTCTGAGGTGTGCCAAAATGTTCAGAAATCTCTGAAACGTGAAGATATGCAAAAATTTTCGATTTTCGACCCATTACTATAACTTACTCTACAGGAAGTTAAAAAAGTGTGTGTGTGAACCGATTTTTAACCTTTTGTCAACGTTTTCTTAAAAACTGCTTGACCGATTTTAAAAATGTATAAGCCATTCGATGTAACTCGATTTGTGAGATAATCGGCTAAGCCGTTTTTTTGTAACTAGCGGAAGTGTAAAATTTTTCGTCCACAATTTTGAATCGATTTTAAAAATACAAAAAGTATTCGAAAGATATTAGTTCGAAATCGGGTTGATGATTTTTTTGTAAAGATCGGCCGTATCGTTTCTTTTTAATTTAATGTTAAAAAAAACATTTTGATTAAACTTGGTATAACGATAGCTTTCCTAGTCTAAAATAACATACTAAAATATTATAGGCCTACGATAAGCGATTGAATTATAAAAATTCATCAAAGTTCAGAAAATCGTCGTACGCTTAACAATAAGTGATTCTAATCAGAATCTATGCATAAAATATGTACGCTCAGTATTTTGTTGGTAGCTACTGATTACAATAGATATTCACATTTGAATGCAATACATTTTTAGAAATGAAATGGTTTGAACAAATTAATTTCATTTTAATTAGTTTTAGTTTTTGGTACGGGAAGTTCTAGTAATTTGTCTTAAGGTATGATGCCAAGCACCACTACATAGTTGTTATTGTTAATGTATTTGAGCGGTGTTCATAAATACAAGTAAAAAAAAGTTTTGGCTATAAAATATTTTTCCTCGTATTCTAAGAGGTTCAAAGTATTTTTTAAGCCTAAATATTTTTTTTTGATTTTTCAAAAAATGTACAGTGGTGTAACCCCTTAAGACTAGTTATTATAAGCATATCAATATTGATATTTTTGCCCACTTGATAAGTATAATAACGTTAAAGAATCGATATATATATATATATATATATATATATATATATATGATATGTAAATATAATTTTATATAAAATCAGTTTTAAAATATGTACTGCTCATCAATTCATACGAGTATATAAAGGTAGAAAAATGGCTAGACGGTGTCGCTTGGCAAACATTGTCTACCCTCTTTTTTAAAATACACAATATTATATATTTATATATATATATATATATATATATATATATATATATATATATATATTCAGAAGCACCCCATAGAAAAATAATGAATGATTCAAACATGGCGCCATCGTTGCGACAGCCCGGAAGGTAATTGGTGGTGCACGGGACACGCCTAGTGCAAGGGTAGAAAAATACAGGGTTGCAATGGATTCGGCGAAAAAAAACAATACGCAGACTTATCAACTTCCCCTCACTTAAAATTCTCAGATTTCTTTCACTCTTAAAAAATAAATATGTATATTCATATCACGATCAAAATCAATACTGCCCAAAAAAAGACATAAATAATATATTATTTAAAAAAAATTTTTTGTTTATTTAAAAATTACAACTGTCAGGCATTGACATCTATTAATTGTACTGTCTAAAAATAGATTTTTAAAAATATAATACGGCAAATATTATAGTAATGGTTGATTTTTAGTTAGATTTGTTTTCTATGACAAGGATTAAAAAGTTTTGTTATTTTTCAAAATATCTTGCAAAAGTCACATCAATGGTAGCTCAAGGTAGATTCACATTTTTTTCAGACAATTTATATTTATATTTGCATACAATTTACAACATTTTTGCACATAATTCACAACATATTCAGACACTATCTTCAAACAATCTACAATAATCTGATAGATAATCTACAATAAATTCAGACAATATATCACACAATAAAACAATCTGCAGCAATTGCAGACAATCTGCAACAAATTCAAACTATCTACAACATTTTTGGACAATCTGCAACAGTTTCAAACAATCTGCAAACTTTTCAGAAAATCTACTTTAATTTCAGACAATCTACAACATTTTTAGACAATCTACTTCAATTGCAGACGATCTACTTTATTTACAGACAATCTACTGCATTTGTAGACAGTCTACAGTATTTTAGATATTATTAGACAATCTACTTTATTTGCAGACAATCTACTTCATTTGCAGACAATCTACTTCATTTACAGACAATCTACTGCATTTGTAGACAATCTGCAGTATTTTAGATATTATTAGAAAATCTACTTTATTTGCAGAAAATCTACTTCATTTGTAGACAATCTACTTCATTTACAGACAATCTACTGCATTTGTAGACAATCTACAGTATTTTAGATATTATTAGACAATCTACTTTATTTACAGAAAATATACTTCATGTGCAGAGAATCTACTTCATTTGCAGATAATCTATAGCATTTGTTGACAATCTACTGCATTTGCAAACAATCTACAATATTTGCAGACAATTTGCAAACATCTACTACAAATTCAGACAATCTGCAACAAATTCAGACAAATCACAATAATTTCAGTCAATCTACAACTTTTTTAGACAATCTACAACATTTAGAGACAATCAACCATATTTTTGGACAATCTATAGCATCTGCAAACAATCTACAGCATTTGCAGATAATCTACAGCACTTGCAGACAATCTGCAACAATTTCAAACAATCTACAACATTTTTAAATGATCTACAGTATTTACAGATAATCTTGAACAATTTCAGACAATCTGCAAAATACTTATGTAGATAATCTACTTCATTTTCAGACAATCTGCAATCTGCATTAAGACAATCTAGTTCATTTTTAGACAATCTACAGCATTTGTAGACAAACTATAGCATCTGCAGACAATCTACAGCAATTGCAAATAATTTACAACAATTTCAGACATTTGCAGACAATCTACAACATTTTTAGACAATTACAGCATTTGCAGACAATCTGCAAACATCTACAACAATTTCAGACAATCTATAATTTCAGGCAATCTGCAAAATTTTTAGTCAATATACTTCATATTCACACAATCTACTTCATTTTCAGGCAATCTACTAGATTCAGACAATCTACAGTATTTGCAGACAATATACAGCATTTGCAGACAATCTATAACAAATTTAGCCTATAATAATTTCATACAATCTATAATAATTTCAGACAATCTGCAACAATTTCACAGATAATCTACGAAACAGGATCGAAAAATCAGCACATAGACACACATTCATACACACATCGTTACTAAAGTTCTAATTAGACTTGCTATCTTCGGAAAAAGAAGAGGTCTCATTAGAGCAAAAGTTTAATTAAAAAGTGGGAATTATAGATTTATAGAATTCTAGAGCCTTCCCCATAAAGTAATTACTAATGGCGGTTGCAAATGGGACAATAAACAAGAGATAAGCAAATGTATTTTTGGTATTATTAATTTTGTTATAATAAATTGAATCTAACATATCCAGACAAAAGACCTAGATGGGCGTCCTTTAATCACGTGAGCGAGTTTTTAAAGATTTTTGGACCCCCCCTCCCTCTTGGTGATACATAGTGATATTCAAAATTACCCGTCAAACATTACGTTTATTTTTAGTTACGTAAAAACACTGTAAAATTTTTGAATATTTTTTTTTATATAAATAAATACACGTGATATCTTACTGATATTTTGTGATTTTTTGTCAACCCCCTTCCCTGTCCCTAAAAACTTCACGTGATTAATGGACGCCCCACTAGTCTGGTATGCCTAAATGCATTTCCTCCGGTATACAAAAAAAACATACATACACACATTTTTTTTCATAATTTGGTCTCATACACTTCAGAATGACTTGAAACGCCGAGAAAACATGAAATTAGCAAATCGGGTTTTTTAAAAATCCGTTACTACTAACTAAGTAATGCGGTTCTGATACGGTCGTGAGTGGTTTAAATATTTTACTTTTTACTCTTGTTTATAAACCAAATGGTAAAAAATCATGCCAAAATGTATAGTAAAAAATAAATTCCAAGTAACTTATTAGAAACTTAGTTACTGCCGTATCAATTATAAGGAGCCCCTGATCACAGGGAGTCCCCAACGTGCGTATACACAAATTAATGAAAACATGCCATACTACGCTTCTCATGATATTGTTAGTTTATCTTATAAATATTATAATAAATGATTAAAGTAGATGCTAATTGAATTAATTACCAAATTAGGAAAAAACAAAGTCAGATTCCGTATTCCTCCTCTATATACGTCACCCATGTCGCCACCGATCAGCTGCATGGACTGAAGAAAAAAATAAAAATTAATGCAATATCAAGATAATAACTAATAATAAATCTATAATTCTATTAAAATTTAATTATCTTATTAACTAACTATTAACTATTATTAATATTGTTCTAGGTTTTCAGCTGACATGGCAGGTGCTTACCAGTGGTAAAGTGGTAAAAAAATTAAAATATGTGATAACTTAGCCGCGTCGCCGCCTAACGAATAAACATTGGTACGGAACCCATAGGAACGTAAACAAAATTTATACTTATTGTTAAAATCTCTATAAAATATCTGATTATTTGATGTGCATATGTCTAATGATCATTTTTGACCGCCAGATGGCATTTTTTTTTACTTTTTTTACTAGATCTCCAAAAGCGCTAGACCTGCCTTCATGAGAATTTGATTAGTTCTTCATCTTGTTAATACAAGTAAAATGTTTTTTGAATTATTACAATCGGACGCTCCGTTCTCTTAAAAACCGTGTTACCGTTTTTAGCACTTTTTGCCCCGTATCTTCGGAACGGTTAAACCTGCCTTCGCCAAAAACTAATCAGCACGTCTCCTCATCAATATGAATCGAATGTATTATTCAAATCGGATGATCAGTGTTCCCGAAATCGTTGACGAAAATTTGTTTCAGCACACACACACACATACATCCATTTTTTCTAAGGTATGTCAAAATGTTCAAAAACCTTTGAAACGTAAAGATAAATAAAAAATTTCATTTTTGAATTTTTTTACGAACAATATAACTTAACCTACGTCAAATTAAATTGGGAAGGCAGGTTTAGCGGTTTCGGAGATTATTAAAAAAAGTAAAAAAACGCCATTTGGCGGTCAAAATTGATTATTAGACATATGCACATCAAATTATCAGATATTTTATGGAGATTTTAATAATGTGTATCAATTTTCTTTACATTTTTATGAGTTTCATAACGTCGTTTGTTCGTTAAACGACGACGCGGCGCCATTTCAAAAATTTTTTTCCAAAGATTCAATTTATTTCAAAAATTTCAAAATTTCACAAAAATCTAATTTTTTCAAAGTTCCAGCAATTTGCTTTAAGGCACAATGCCACACGCCACCAGTTATAATTAGTATTTTCAAAAATACCAATTAGACAGTTGCACACATAGATAAAAGAAGAGTTGGATGCACAAATATTTCCGTACTGTCGTTAAAATCAGTGGTACCATCTTAACGAAGACACTATAAATATCATTCAGTGTAGCCACGCACCAAACGTATAATTTTATATATTTGAAAAGTTTACGAAAATTTTAAACTTTTCGCATATTCTATTTTTTAACTTTCCCTAGGGTTAGTTATAGTCATTGAAAAAAATCGAAAGTGAAAACTTTTATATATCTTTACGTTTCAGAAGTTTCTGAACATTTTGGCATACCTTACAAAGAAAAAATTGATCTGTGTGTGTGGCTATGTGTGTATGGGGCTATGCGTGTGTGTGGTCATATGTGTGTGAGTATGTGTGTATGTATGTGTGTGTTCGTATACAAATTTTCGCCGGCGATTTTGGGAACACGGTTCAACACACACATTTTATTTGTGTTGACAAAATGAACGAACTGATCAAATTTTTGAAAGGGCAAGCCCAGCGGTTAAGCAGACCCAAAAATGATTATTAGACATAAGCACATCAAATTTATCAGACATTTTATAGAGGCTTCAATAATCTGTGCACATTTTGTGTCATTTTTTTGGGTTTCGTACTAATTGCTTCAAAAAAAATAAGATTGCTTTGAAAAAAAGTTCAAAATGTAAAAAAAACATTTTTTTTAAATCAAATTTTTCCAAATTTTTCAAAAACTGAACAACTGCACAAATATTCATGTATTTCCATGTTAAAACCAGTGGTACCATCTTAATGACAGCAGTTTAAGTATCATTCAGTGTAGCCACACACCAAACACGTAATTTAATATATTTATAAATTTAATTAAATTTTATGCAGAGATATTGTGGCTTCTATATTTATTATTTTTATAAAATACCTATTAAACCGTATATTATGTGATTTTTCTAATTATAATTGAAAATGTTTAATAAAATTACTATATTGCGACAATAGAAATTAATGGCCCGAATAATTTTCATTTTGCCATTAAACTTCTATTGTGTATATATATATATATATATATATATATATATATATATATATATATATATATTAGGATGGTTTTTAATATAGACATTTTCGAATTTTCTTGCTCCCAGGAGCTTAAATGCTTCCAAATTGCTAAAAAAATATTCTCTAAAAGTTTTAGCACTTAATATCAACTTGTAGATAGTGCGCAATTCAATCAAAGCTTCGTATGGAAATAGCATGGAAAAAAAATCGAAAATTTTAAAAATGCTTTTTAGATATAGCAACAAATGAATTAAATGTGACAATTCGTGTCATCTTCTATTAAAAATTCGACGCTCTGCATTCATTTGTTCGCTAAATTATATCTAAAAGTAAAAAAAAACAATTACCACTCTATCTTCGTCTAACGGGGTGATACGAGTGGTGCATTCGATGCCTCTAGCAACAACATGAACCGCTTGATCACACTCATTGCGGACCTTGATAACTATAATAACACAGGAATAAATAATCATCAAAATAAACTTGCATCTTTAATATAAATTTTCATATAATATTCAAAATAATTATTAATTGAAAAATGTAATCACAAAATGATTAAACTTACAGAAAAGCATGGCGATGTCATTTTTGTATAGTGGCGCAACTCCGTGATCCTAAAAGAATGAACAGACCACAGTATTAGAAAGATATACTAATAACTACATTTTTATTAACTTCCCGAAGGAGAAGTTTATGTTTTCATCAAAAAATTCGATTCGCTAATTTTATATTTTCTAGACGTTTCAAGCCATTCTCAATCAAATGAGATCAAATTTGCAAAAAGTGTGTGTGTGTGTGTGAATAGATTTTTTGCCGTAAATCGACGTTTTCTCAAACACGGCTAGACCGATTTCAAAAATTAAAAAACCATTCGATGTATCTCGATGAGGATTATCATTTCTATCGTTCGCGCGACGAACAGCCAAGCCGTTTCTTTGTAAATAGCAGAAAAGTGAGAAATTGTTCGTCTACGTTTTAGCCCCCAATTCTGAATCGATTTTAAAAAATCAAAAACTTTTCGAAAAATATTGGTTGAGTGATTAGTTTTAGGTAAAAATTTACCGAGCCGTTTACTTGAAAAAAACTGTTGAAAAGAAGTTTATGGCCGATTTTTATGAACCTTTTTTGGCGATATATATCATGGTCTTATATAACTTACTGAAATATTACGGCCTTACGACAAATAGTTTAATTTTAACAATTCACCAAAGTTTGAGAAAATTTTATAGTCAAAAGTTGTATTAAAAGTTGCTTTTGTGATGTGATAAGTCAAACATTGCCAATTTATTAAAATTTAAAATAATGAGCTACAATTTTAGGACATACAAGCACCTACCTCAGCAATATAATTAATATAATCACAGTTAATTTAAATGTGATAGAGAAAATTCTATTCAAAATCGCAATGTTTAGATTTAATTGAAAGCGACTTTATTTTTGAAATAAACAGTTGAAAATTTTATCAGAATATTTAAATTTCAATATTTGTTCATGCAACTTGCCTTAAGGCTAAATGTCATTTTCAACTAGTTAATAAAATATTTGCGAACCAAATTTTTGCTTATTTATAAATGTATAAGAAAACTAATAATAAATAAGCAAAAGTTAAATAAATTTAATATAATATAAATTATAATATTATTATATAAATACTGAAATATTACGGCCTTACGACAAGTAGTTTAATTTCAAAAATTCATCAAAGTTTGAGAAAATGAGTAGTTTTTTTGACGTTTGTTAAAATTAAAATTAGACGATTTACTTGTATTATATTAAATTTATTTAACTTTTGCTTATTTGTTATTAGTTTTTTTATACATTCATAAATAAACAAAAATTTTCTTCGGAAATATTTTATTAATATAAATATAGTTATTAGTATCTCTTTAACTTACCAATACTCTTAATGCACCATATGCGAACTGGACAAGCTCAAATATAAATAGAAAAATATACCGAAAATTCATTTTGATAAAATTATACAAAAATTTAAACGTTATTCATTTGCAAGTTTATTTAAAACCTACTTTAATTTGGTTTTAGTCGTCATGATGATTGCAAATTTTGTTGATATCGAAACAAAAACAAAAATTACTTCGTCAAAACTAACTTTCATTTTGGTCCTGGTCGTTACGATGAATGCTAATTTTGTTACAAAACTGAAGTTATCTTATCTAATTATAACATTTACACAAAAATAAACTTTTTTTTCAGTTCTGATAGTATTACGCATATCATCTTTATATTTATATAATCTAAATTGGAAGCATTATATTAATTTGAATATTTAAACGTTGTTCGTATTTCCCGCGCCCAATTTTCCGGCGGCTACAACAGCGCCATGAACTTGAATTTTCTTCGTGTCACTATGTTGAACTAGACGTTTATTGTCAATTGTCAAAAACCTTTTACCCACACGAAATATACAAAATTAAGTTAAATTTAGTTTTAAACGACGTATATATATTTTTAAGATCATGATTAAATTATTCTCTTTAAAACAACAAAAAAAAGATGGAGAGTCGACCACAAGATCAGGAACACAAAAAAAGGCATCAGCAGCGCAATTGAGAATAACGAAAGGTTATTTTTGTTTAAATGTAATTGATTTATTACATAGAAAGGAATTATCATGATTTTATAATTGCAGATATAAATGAATTAAATCTGCCTAAGACGTGCAATACAGAATTTCCAGATCCTGATGATCTCTTAAGTTTTAAACTCATAATATGCCCAGATGAAGGTTTTTACAAAGGAGGAAAGTTTATTTTTAATTTCAAGGTATACAGGTGTATTTTAATATTAAATCACTCTAAACGCCATTTAAAATACCTTATCTATTGCAATGTATTGCTCTATTTAATTGCCTACTCTATAAAAAAAGTACTTTTTAAAACTTGAATTGACATATGTACCAAAATTTCTATTTTTCGAATGTAAATATTGATTAGTTTATTTCATTTCTATGCTAACATCAACGTCTTTTTGAGGTCGGTCCGTCATACCCCCATGAACCCCCTAAAGTAAAATGTGAAACACAGGTCTATCACCCAAATATAGATTTAGAAGGAAATGTATGTTTAAATATTCTCCGAGAAGATTGGAAACCTGTACTTACTATCAACTCAATTGTTTATGGGCTGCAGTATTTATTCCTGGTAAGCTACGTTATCAAATGTGATATGGTTATGACTTAGAGATATGGTTATGTTTTACAATAGGAACCAAACCCAGAAGATCCCTTAAACAAAGAAGCAGCTGAAGTTCTACAGACCAATAGGAGATTATTCGAGCACAATGTTCAAAAAGCCATGCGAGGCGGTTACATTGGAAACATGCTTTTTGAGCGATGTCTCAAGTGATATAACCCCTCTCCCGAATGCAATAAGAAGACTCAATTGCACAATGTGCCACGGGCTGTCTTTATCATTCTGCAAGTCATTTTTTTCATTTACCTTATATTCGGGAAAATAAATCCATTTTGTTGACTTTATGTTAAAGTTACAATCTAAGAATGACTTGGTAACAAAATTTAAAGGCCTCGTGCCTAAATACATGTCTCCAGATATATCATCAGACTTTTACTTAGGAATACATTTTAATCTAAAATAATAAATTCAATATTACATGTTATTACATGTGATTGGTGAGTGTTCTAATAAGATAGGAGTAAATTTGACTATTATAAATGTACAATTAACAAAAAATTCAACAATTGTTATTGATATTAATTAATCGTCATAAATGTTTAGTTTTACTTCAATAACTTATTTAGTATTTAGTATTTATTAAGGAAACTTATAATCATGTATAAAAATTAGGAATCATTACCTTAAATAGATGAAATGCACATAATTTTATAAAAATGTTCTTGTCTTTAACTTTACACCATATGCTTCATTAATTTATTTATAACAAAAATATTTAAGTTAAAATTGAATTTACAATATAGAACTCAATAGGTACTGTGTATAGGAAAATATTAACAAGATTTGTGACTAACATCAAAACAATTATGCAAGTTTTAACCACATAAACACAGATTATAGGTAAAAGAGATAGAAACCTCTGATAGCACTTTTTTTTTTAAAAAAAAAAAAGGTTCAACCTAAATTTTATTGAACTATGGCAATGATGTGGTGGGGCAAAGCTGTTGCAGGGATAACATGCCACTGTTTTTTTTTAATACTAATTAAATTATGAATACAAATATTGTATATATATTTGTAGCTCAATATCATAATATTAGTTGAGTATTAATATAACTAGACTTATATAACTGTTAGTGGAAGTAATCATCTTTTTACGCAAATACGACGAACCTTCCCTCCATAGCCATAATTTCAACAGTGTTCTGTTTTGAAATAAAATAAAAACATTTTAAAACAAATTTTGATACATCACACATATACTTTACTAATTTTAGTGTCAATGCAGAATGATTTGGAAAGTGCAGAAAACAATATTAGCAAACTGGATTTTCTGGCTAAAACAAACTCTTTCAGAAAGTCAAAAATGGATATAGTAGTAGAGTAGAAATATGGATATAAGGGCTTGAAGTGCAGAAATATATTTAATTTTGCATTAATTTGCGCCAATTTCTTCACATCAATTCAGTAAACAATTTTAATCAGGATTAATTACTTTTCTTCATTGCATTTTAATTTGCAGGTCTTCCTATTATTTTTTTTTGTAAGGTATTAATGTTTTAAGAATACAGAAAACAATTTAAAATTGCAAACAGTCAAAAAGTTTTAATTTTAGTAGGTATCAAAGAAATTTTTGAGGCATGTGAATATACCCCTCTAGAAGGGAAAAAAAAGGAACAAAATTATTAATCTAGAATAATGTCACATTCATATAAATTCTATGATAAAAAAATTCACTTTTTCTGATATCCTCGATTTTTGTTAAAAAACAGTAAATGTCGGAATTTGGGGCTGGGCTTATTGTTAGTTCGTTCAAAGCGTTCATAAGTTTATGAAGAATTTTTAAATAGTCAAATTTTAAAATACTAAAGTAAAGAAAAAACGATTTCTTAAACCTTTCACACTAGACCTTAACAAATCATACAACAATTTGCTCTCACTATTATAAACTATATAATAGTCATTAAACCTTACAAAGTTGTAATATTTTACAAAGTATTTTAGTTTGCATCAAATGCAATAAAATCAAACAAACATGATTTGATTAATTAATAACATTTATTATATGTTTAAATTAACTTAAGTGACGGTATGAAAATAGTTACAACATTTTGATAGTGTATACAAAATCATGAATTGCCTTTGGCTTATCAGTAACTGCAATTTAGAAATAATTAACGTTAATAACAAATGCATTCTAAAAACAAATATATCATCATCTAACAAAATTTTATTTCAACCAGTTGAACCGAAGTTGAAAGTTGTAGGCACAGTTTGTGATGGAAAACTATAACCTGATGAAAAAACATATATTAAGAAAACATAATGAATTTTATCATTTGCTATATCAAAAATATTAGTTACCTCCACTTTGTTCTATTTTTTTGGAGTTAGCAGCTGCTTTTCTTTGATCAGCCAATGTAAATATATCTTTAACAGATTCTTGCTGTTGAGGCGTTAAATGACTCGTCAACATGGCATAGAATTGAGGATCTTGTCCTTGTAAATCTAAAAATATAGACAGTTTTAGGAAGTTTTAGAGATTTTGCTGTGAGGTTGAATGAACACATAATAAACCTAAGAATTGAGATTTAGCTATTTAGGTAAAAATTTTGTCAAATTTCAGTAAATACTTTATTTCAAAAATAAAATGTTCGTCTTCAATAAAAAGTAATAGATACAATTTCCAATTGTATTCAAACATACATCTATCTATTGTATAAATCGAATGAATTTTTTCAAAACATTACATTTCATCCATTTCGGATTCTAAAAATGTACTTAATTTAAGCATGAGCGTCAACTGTAATTAGTAGCTACATACAAAACACAGAATGTGCATATGCTCGGCATAGATTGTGATTAAAACCACTCAGGTTCGCGGCCGCTTATCGTAGACCTATAATATTTATTTTAGTTGATATATATTAGACCAAGAAATCTATCGTTATACAAAAGTTTAATCAAAATTGTCAAAATAAATTTTCAACATTGATTTACGTACGTCATTTGAATACGGGTCGATTGTGATTAGTCGTCGTGGCGAGTGAATAAAGATCTGTCGTTGTACGCGTACCGGCATCAAAGTTGTATGCGTACCGATATCAACAAGGAAATCGGCATAGATAAACATTTTAAAGTTACATCATAGTACAAATCTTAATTTAATGAAAAATGCCTGAATCAGAAGAATGGTTTACCCTGTTCCTTGAAAATATTAAACAAATCAAATATTTGTGCCGCGTACTAAAATTAAGTTTATTGATTACAAATTATTTATATATTATTCGTAGTTTCTATAAATCCTTGAAGTTATTAAAATGGAAGATATTTTTTGGCAAAACAGATATTACAGCTGTTCAAAGAATGAGATTATATCGCGAAAAAGTAAATAAAAATACAAGCAATCAATGAATGTATGCTAATTTTAATTACATGAAGTTCTTTAAACACAATTCCATTATGAGTAAAGTTGCGAAACCAATATTTGTTTAGGCTTTCTTTAACATAATCCACTGTGTGAACGAATATTATAGAATTTATTAATCAGCAATTACTTCATTTCTCTAATAAAGGTTTATTTCTAAATGCTAATTACAATGACAAACCGATCATGTCGTATTTGAAGTATGACTTTAATTACATTATTGTTTTTAAATATTATACATATTTTTAATGCTATTATAAACATTATTCAAAATTGTTATATGATGTATTTATTTTTACTTAAATGCCATCTTGTACAGTAGCAAAAAAGTTATTCCAATCGCGTGTGAACCTTACGCGCACTCTTTTTAAATCAGTCCAACCCTTTTTTCAAGAAAACGTCGACGGAAGGTACAAAAATCTGCTCACATAGACACAGACACACATACTTATTTCAAATTTGGTCTCAATTAAAAATGACTTGAAACGTCGGGTAAGTAAAAAAAATAAGAAATTGGTAATTTTTTTTGTCATCAGAAAGTTTGTAAAAATATTGCAAATTATAAATATTTTACTCACTCGTAATAATCTCCTTGAAGATTACATATTCGTCTACTGGGTTATCTTCATCATCAATTGGAGTCGTATAAGTTTCTAAAGTAGTTTCTTCGTTATCTAAATCATAATCAGATTCACTATCACAATCCTGGAACGCTGTTGAAATCGGTACACCAGCAGCATTTGCCTTCTTCATTGTGGTGTCTTGCAGCTTCTCTAAATACATTTGGCCTTGCTCATCAATTTCATCTTCATCACTAGAAAGTACTTCCTCTTCACAGCTTTCTTCTTGCTCTTCAGTCTCTTCCTCTTCTGCATCTTCTGCAGCTTTAGCTGCGTAAGCTCGTTTAAGGCCATCAAAGAGCAGGATCAATGTGGGAACTACTTGGTTTGCATATTGTGCTAATGCTGGAGGTCTTAAGTCCCCTAGACTTATCAAAGTGCATATTCCCAGTACGCAGAGTTTACGATCGTGTAAGCTAGAAGAAATTGATACATTAATTAATTAGAATTAATAGAAAACTTAATCTTAAACTGTGACAATTGATTGAAAAATTGACATTGTTCATTATTTCATGCCTTTGTGAATCTTTATATAATTAAGCCACTTTTTATAAGCCTATAATAAATGTTTAGGATCTTTGTTGGAAAACCATGTATTTCATCACAATACAAAAATTTATCAAGACAAAACTTTACTTGACAGCCTATTATTGTATCATTAACTAGTTGTAAGTGGTATTTTACCCAAGAGAAGCTGCATAAGCTTTCCAACATTTATAAATAATGGACTTAATAAGAAATCAATATATTAATTAAAGAGTGATATATAAGTATATGCAATTGCTGTAGAGCATTATAATGTAAGAAACTATTGTAGTTTGTACATTTTTAAAGTAAAATTAGTTTAGGCGCGACTAAGGTGTAAATCTGTAAAAACGCACCAAAAGAGCGTTACATTTTCACTCTCGATGATATCATTTCTATACGGGTCGATTGTGATTGGTCGTCGTGTCGCGTGAGAGTGTTCTTTGATTGTATGCATATACGTAGTATGCCTTTACAAAGTTATTAACTCACCCTAAGAAGCAATCAGCGTCTTGAAACCATTGTTTGATAAAATGTGATGCAATAGGTTCTGCGGAGGCAACTGGCATAGGTAATTTATCCATTATGCTAAACAGCAATGGAGGATTATAATAGAGAGCTGCTATCACAACCTAAAACAAGTTATACTTGTATTTATATCCACTGTATGGTTTTTTTTTTTATAACCAAGCACTTACTTGCAGACACATTGCTCTTAACTCTGATGTTTGAATTTCTCTTGTTAATCTATTTAAAACCAATTCTATAATGGGTGGTATACATTGGTCAATTCTTCCTTTGCATTGGAGAATTATAACTTCAAGAAGTTTGGCAGCATGAGCTTCAGGATCTTCTCCAGCATCTCCAGTTAAAACCTGAAATTTAATAATAGAAATGATTTAATTAATTTAATAATTTAAGAAACAAAATAGTATAATATTTCAACATTCAAGTGTATAGTATAATTTTATGTAAGTTTAAATCTACTTACTGCTTTGCACATATTAAACAAAGCTAAAACATGGTTCTCATTTGAAATAAAAGCATCTGAGTCTACAGTGACATAATTATGCAATACAGGCATCATATCGGTGAAGAAATCAAATCCATCGTTTTGGAATACCTATAAATAAACAAATTATGAACATGTTTCCTGAACTTTAATTACAAATAACAAGCCCGACATAATAATATTTATTGTATTGATTATGGCTTGCTTATGAATAAATTCATACAACAACAAAAAAACACTGATCATTACCTGGTATATTAATTCCAGAACTTGCCACATATCAGGACTGATTTTCTTTTGCGTTAAATCATAAACTAAAGACAAAGCCTCTTCGTACAGATCTGTTATATAAAAATAAATTAAAAATACTGCAACTAGTTTTACACTATATTAAATTTTTTAATTTACCCATAACACTTTGTTGGAATATGTGTCCGACCACTTGCAAAACTGTAGGCTGTAAGTTGGCAATGATTTCTTCATTATCCTCCATAACGGAAAGTAAGGTTTCAATTGTGTTCAAAAGCCCCATGGCAGTTATTGCTTTCTCATCAGAATTTTCTTCCGATTCAATAACCTGAAAATTATAAAATTTGTGTAATTTCCAATCAAAAACTGATTAACATGATTATGAGGTAAAAATTCTTTAGGCGCGACTAGGGTGTAAATCCGTACAAATGCAACGAAAATAGCGTTACGCCCGAACTGTACGTCTTTCGCTCTCGATAAAATCATTTCAATACGGGTCGATTGTGATTAGTAGTCATGTATGTGAATAGAGATCTGCCTACTGTATGCCTACCAGCATCAACAAGGAAATCGGCATAGATAAATAAACATTTTAAAGTTGCATCCTAGTACAAATCTTGATTTAATGAAAAATGCCTGAATCAGAAGAATATTTTACTCTATTCCTTGAAAATAATAAAACAAATTAAACATTTGTGCCATGTACTAAACGTAATATTATTGATTAGAAATGATTTCTATATTATTCGTAGTTTCTATAAATCTTTGAAGTTATTAAAATGGAAAATATTTTTTAGGCAAGGCAGATATTACAGCTGTTCAAAGAATGAGATTATATCGCTAGCAATAAAGTAAAAATACAAGCAATCAATGAATGTATGTTAATTTTAATTAATAAAGTTCTTCAAACACAATTACATGATGATTGAAGTTGCAAAAACAATAATCCACTGTGTGAATGAATATTATAGAATTTATTAATCAGCAATTACTTCATTTCTTTAATGAAGATTCATTTCTAAATGCTAATTTAGAATGGCAAACCGATCATGTCACATTTGAAGTATGACTTTAATTACATTATTGTTTTTAAATATTATACATATATTTAATGATATTATAAATATATAATTTATAATTTATCATTATATAAATGTGTATAATGGTTGACACTAATAAATGTGAGTATCACGAGTGTCATCATATTACTAATAAACATTATTCAAAATTGTTATACGATGTATTTATTTGTACTTAAATGCCATCTTATACAAAATACAAAACATTCTTGAAGCAGTTGCTGATTCATTTAAGAGTTTTATTAGACCTGGACAAAATCATTACCATTGAAAACATGTCTAGGTATTCGTGAATACATGAAAAGCAAGTGATATATGTTGTGTATGACATGAAATTATTTAATTTATGTTTGCTTTATACATATTTGAATTTTCTGTGTCAAAGAGCATACTTAAGTTCAAACCACCGATGGTTCCAATAGCTCTAGCTATCCCGGTATACAATGTTAAATAAAAAAATTACCTGGCTAAAGGTTTGTGCTAAATGTTGACAGATTTCTACAGCTATCGGCAACAATTGTGTAGTGTAAGTACACACAACTTTTTGCATAACACTCGTCAAGTCATCGTTCTCAGTTTCTCGTATAATCCTCAGTAACTCCATTGTAATTTCTTTAATTCTGGGCTCAACATATTTTTCAGCCCTTGATTGCGCAGCCAAAATCATTTGTAATGCTATAGCAGCTTCTACTTTAACAGGCAGTTCTTTGTCAGTTAACAATGCATTTGTTGTTAGATTAACAGCAGTGGCTAAAACATCTTCTTGCTTGAACTTGATTTCGCTAAAGTAATGCAACACCCAACATGCACGGGCTCTCATATGACCTAGAAAAATGATATAACATTATTAAATTATGTATGATGATTCAGAATTACTCATCAAATTTTCTAGCAAAAACGAACTTCTTTAAACATTGAATAAAATGAGCAAATCCGATTTTCTAGCAAAAGCATTAGCTACTTTGGAAAGTTAATAATATGAAGCTTAATATAATAAAGTTTATATATAATTTAATATGAACAATATAACATAAAAAAATTCAAAATATTTAAATTAAAAAGTATAGTATTATTTTTTAAAAGTTCAATATTACCTTTTGCGTGAGAAAATTCTGGGAAAACATAATTCATAAGAAGTGAATCCATTTGATCTTTGTAAAATTTCTTTTTTAATAAAATCTCTGCTAAAGCACCAACCATATGTAGAGCACCATCCTTTTGCCTGTCATCAGCTTGAGGTGATGTAAGAACCTGAACAAAAAATATAATTGCTTATAATTCAAAGCCATAATATTGATTTATAATAACTAAGACCTTGATATATTTACCTGCATTACTAATTGCATTGTTTTTTGGAGCATGTCCTTACGTTTCCGACAGCAAGATCCTAACAATGTTTGAGCAGCCGTTACTGGTGATATGTAATCCTCAAAAATATCTATATAATCACAGAAGATCATAAGAATTATATTCTTGTATTATAATGAAGTAATATATTCTTTGTGATATATTAAAAATTATAATATTTACCAAATTTTACACGAATGTATTCATGAGGATCAGAAACAAACAACTCTTCATCAGCTTCAGAATGAGACAAAATTGGGAATAAAACATCTTGAACAATTGCAAACATATGTGGCTTCAGGAATTTCCAAGAAAATGCATGTGACACTCTGAAATTAAGAATTGTTGCTCAGTATTAAAAAATTTTACATTAAAGTGGTATATTTTGTTTAACTATTGTCAAATAGTAAAATTCTATATTTATTTCATCAATTTTCTTCCATCAATAAATTAATTACAATTTATTCTTTTCTCAATGCCATAATTTATGAGCTTTTGTTGATTTAGTATTTTTGTATTATGTTTATTAGTATATATCAAGTTTCAATATTTATTAATAACTATGGCCATCAGTTAAAAAAGTTGCTCAATCTTATTACAGATCTAAATAGTGATATTGTGTTTAATATATATGCAGAATGCTAATAATTTGATATAAATTTATTTTTTTGGATTTTTAGGCTGTTGATATTTTGTAAAATCAAATATTTTAACTTGTCTGTCATCAGTTCATGCAACTGCAACATTATTCAAGATTAAATCTTTTTTTATCAGATTATTTAGAGAGCTATCATCAGGGATATGTTATGAAGTCAATTTTTATCTGTATTCTTTAAACATTAATCAATAATTTATTTCTAAAAGAAAAGAATAGCAAAAACAATGCTTTTTCATAGCCTTTCAAAAATCAAATATCATGCCTCTAGGTTAGAATATCCCCATAAATTTGTCATAGAAGTAACTCACGCAAGATCAACATAGTTCAGACATTGTTGCAGCACTCTGGGTGAAATGTACATTTTATTTCTGTACTGGTCTAAGATTTTTAATTGCACTTCTAATATACCGGCAGAAAATGTTTTCAGATACCACTCAGCAAATTCAGTATATTCCTTGGTAACATTACCTGGGCTTCCATATCTAAAAATAATCATTTTTTGTAAGATTTGTTTTGGCAGTTTGTAATTAACACAAATTCTAAAATAATTTTTATTTATCATATACCTCTCAAACATTCTGTGCAGAATATGCATTGCCCATTTTTTGCATTTCCACCAGGGTAATTCCATGCGTTCGTCTTCATCAGTTTGCAGAGTTGATTCTGGTACCGGACTATCAGCTATTGCACGAGTAACTTCCATCCATTGTGAGAACATTTCTTGTGTAATTAAATTTAAAGGTAATGAGTACTGAAAATAAAAACCAATCACATTAATAATTGTATAATTTGCTAATATTATAAATTTTAAAAACTTACTTGAGTTAAAGCAAAATATATTTTAAGAATCTGCTTTTGTAAAAGCACCGACTGTTCTGATTGATCTGGTAGTAAACGAACTATTATATTGTAGAGCATGGGTAGTAACAAATTCATAGCTTCGGTCAGAGGTTGTCGTTCTTCAATTTTCTTGTATTCAAAAATTTTTACAAGTTGATATAAGCATAAAAGAGCACCAGCCCAACCAGTGGGATCTGAAAGAAATAATTAAGAAACTATAGCAACACATTTGCAAAAGATGACAGATTCAATAGAATTCAGTTCTTGAAATGTTTATTAGCAGCAAAATAGTCTAAATAAGAAGTAATAAATAATAATATACTTTAAACTGAAATATTGTGTGAAATATTTTGTGAATTTGTTAAACATGCTGAATGATATACACAGTGTTGAAACATACATAATAAATTATTTATTGCATTTTATTTTGACTATTTGGCTGTAAATAAACACTTCAAGAATATGTTTCAAAGTTAAACAATAAAATTAAAGTTTATAGAATTTAATGCAATGTATTTTTATACCATGTACCTGGATTTTGAAGATAGATACTAATTTTATCTACAATTTGAGTCCACCTTCCGGGAAAATCATGTTTAACCATAATATTTACACAAACCGATAATTGAGTTCTGCAAAAAAATAATAATTAAAAACATTATGAAAAACGTTTGATATGAAAGACAAAGGTTAAAATATGCAAACCTAATTAATTCTGTTGCATGAACAACAGCATCGACGATAGCATCACGAATCATAGCCCTATCTTGCTCGTGTATACTAAATGGCATTGGCTGCCCAGCTTCAGTTTCTCGATCAGCCCAATTATTTGTTACCATATTTTTCAAATAGATCACACCAGCTTGCCTAACAGGCATGTCGACATCGTTCATCATTACAACTTGCAGCAAGGTAGGAGCAAATCCTATTATTTTGTGAATCTGAAAAATAGATTTTAGATATAAAGAAATAAGATCTAACATAAAACAAAAGTTGTAAGCTATTTTTGTAAGATAGAACTTAGAAACTACTATTATACTTTGAGGGAAAAACAGTTTATAAATATAAATATAAATATATATATATATATATATATATATATATATTCTGTTATATTATAGCATATGTATATATTATAGGATGTCTGACTCAAATGCCGGAGATCGTTGGTTCGATTCCTGGCACTTCCTGATACAATAATGAATAGTAATAACAAGTTTGTATGTGATAATATATAATTGTAATTGAGTAAGTTAGTATATAAAGTATGTAAATATCAAATATGTATGAAGAAAAGCAGTATCAAGCAAAAAGTTTGACATAATTAGAGAAAGACGCAATAGCATTAGTAGAAACATGAAGAAGATGGATTCAAAAAATGTGATACATTGAGTTAAAATTAATCAGAATTTGTATTGTTGATTTATATATATATATATATATATATATATATATATATATATTTGCAAAATAATAATTATAAAGTTTGCGTACAGATTGATAAAGTTGTATTGTTAATATTAGATAATAAGATCTTACAGAATTGTCTGGAAAAAAATATGTTTATAATAAAGAAAATAATTTGTTTTCGATATTTATTCCTGTGTATTATGCTGTATGTATCGTACAATTTATTTTTTATAATTAAAATGTTCTGACAAAAAATTATCGATACAGATATAAAACCTGATCATGAACAACATTTGTTTTCAATAACAGTTTAAATAATTCATTATTTTATTAAAAATGTTAGACATATACATATCAATTAAGTGAAATTCACATTTTCCATTTCAAAAACCTCATGGCATGGGCAACACCCATTTTCCAAAAATGGATTGATACAAATTTAAAAATATCTCATGAAAAAAAGCTTCCTATTATATGTTATAAGTAAAGCAAACGATTTAGTTTTAATTATGTACATTAATAAATGTTTTAAGCATTACAAATTGGTCTACAAGGTTATGTTTAATTCTTCCACATGTCAAAATTATTCCCATATTAATAGTTTAATCAAATGTATCCAATGAGCTCAAGAAAAATTAAAACACTTCGAATTTATGTTTAAGGAAAAATGTAATTTGCAATAAAAAGTACTAATAAATTTCAATTTGTCACAAATATGGAAATTTGTAAAATAATCAGTTGCAATTCTATAAACAATTAGGCCGTGTTTCATAAACAAGTTTTATCTATAGAGATGAAAAATGATATCGTGAAAAAATTGCATGCCATGTGTCTTTTAAAGACATGATTGTCAAAAATTGTGCAAATTGGTTATGCAAGTTGAGGACATGTAAAATTTCATTTAAAGCCGATACCACATCAGCATATAATTAAAAGCGCCCTAAAGAGATTCTTCACCTAGCTATTCATCTAAATCCTGAAATAGTTCCCTAAATCTAAACATTTTATTAGCACATGCTGTTCATACATGGCGGTTTTACCTGTGCGAGCTGATCCTCAGCTTGTTGCCTTTGACTCGGCTCTATCGTAGCACGGAGCAACTCTATCAATTTTCGGTTATCCATTATTACTAACTATTTACACTCACGATTAACGTAAACAACAACCAATGCTAGAATTTTTACAGACCCGGTTCGTAAAACTACATAGATCACAGAACTGTTTTGTTAAACGTGCGATGGTCACGTGACTTGCAAATGCAACATGGCCGGCGACGAAATAATGTTGCCTCATGCGAAAAAAATAAATGACGAAGGGGGACGATTTTATTATTGCTAGGTTGGTAGTATCCGCGAATACATAGTTATTTATTTTGGGCAAACATTTTTGATATATTCATTGTTAATAATTGAAAATGTTATTTGGATATGAAATAGTGGTATTATATAATAAATATTTTCATTTTAATTATTTTAATCAGTCTGATACATACTCTTCTTTTATTTATGGTTTGTAATACATACCGATACAAAAATTTAAATCACAGTAAGTTGAAGTTGTCATCGTATACGTTGATTTTATCACAAACTTCAAATTTGTTTATTTTACCATATTTTGCTAATTTTGAAAACAATCAACGATATTTATAACACTAATGAATTTATTCGTTAATAAGAAAAAAATATATATATCTTACCTAATATATTTTATATTCTAGTTATTTAATTTTATTTCAATTTAAATATTTTAAATCAGTGTTTGCTTATCATCATAGATAAATGAGCATAATGCTTATCATTTACAAATTATTAACTTGTGACAGTAAGGACTAGTTTTATTAGTTATTAGATATTAGATTTACACACAAGTTATTTTCTGGTAAGTAATAAGTTAATTGCTAGTTATTAACTTCCTAAAGCACTAGATCAGCAGACAATCAGTCAAGCAGTTTCTTCATTACTAGAAAACTAAGTGCAAAAATTTTCATTCATGTTTGTAAATCCGTAACTTTCAGTAAATTTCAGCCAGACTAATCCTGACAGTTATCTCATAATTTTTGTCTTCCAGAGAAAAACATGAAATAAAAGTTTTGTATTAGCTACAAAATGTAAATGATACTGTAAGTAAGTAGATAATGTTGTAACATTGCATATTACAATAACTATTGATATGGTTTTAATAAACTTTTATTTGATTTTTGTAACAAATTCATACTTCAGAATGAGTAACAAATAAATAAATTAATAAATAATGTGATATTATGGAAAAGATTTTATTAATTCAATCAAACATTGTTCATAATAATGTCATTTTTCAATTATATAATTTGTTATATATTTAATATGTAACGATGGTTAAAAAACCATTTCATCTTTACCAGACGTCGAAAATAAATGTTTGTTGATTCATAATAATACTTAAACAGAGAAGAAAATGAGTTATTGAATAGATAAACAAAATCTCTCTATGTTTATCTTGTTCTTGACTAGTTATGCACTGTGGTTGAGGACTGCTGTATGCGCTCAAGTTCCTCAAGCGACAGAGCATTTTGCGCCAGATTGACTGGGGGTAATTTTCCAGCAGAAGCCTGCGCTAGCAGTTCAGGACTGAACCAGCGAGCTAACTGATTGCTAGTTGGAGAGAGGGCTCCATCCCTTTGGTTAAAACCCATCAAACCTAAAAGAATTATTTCACATTGAAACATTTATTGGTCTCATGAAAAAATCTGGAACAATTTAAAAATACAATAATTAATTATACTAACCAGTATTAATCATAGAGGTGTTCAGCATCTGCTGATGCTGATAGTTGGTACGCTGTAAATGCTGCTGTTGGGCATGAACTCTGTTCATGGTATTGTTGTAAGTTTGTCCAAAAGCAGGTGTATTATTCTGCTGGACAGAGTTATTGTACTGTTGCATATTTGGATATGCAGATGTCATGTTGTTGTGACCTAAAAAAATATATAAAAGTTAAAATTTATGAACTTGAACCCAATATAATTGATTTTAATTATTAATTAGAATTTTTAATTGGTATTCATTTGTATGAACTTATGAAGGCATTCTGGTCTAGAGGCATGAACTTGATGTGATTTTTCAAGAGGCTGTAAAAAAAAATAAGACAAACAACGTTTTAACATTTCTTTTTTACAAGTTATTCAACAATGTTTTGAGAATATAAAAAAATAATAATAAGCTACTAAACATTCTAACACACAAACAAACTACGATTGCAACTAGAATTGCAATTAATGGAATATTTTTAATTGTAATTAATGCAAACTTTTGTTTTGTTTCGATATCCTAAAGCTGCTATTCTAGGTGGAATACAATTAATCTTAATGTGGAAAATGCAGTTATGAAACCCATACATTGATGACCCATTACAGGAAATTTCTAAATTGTGAAGATTGAACTATTAAAAACAACTGTATAAGCTGTACCCAATCACACACTGCTGTGTTACACATAAATAAAAATCTTAAAAATGTAGTCATTGATAGCAAATGTTAGTTGCTAGTTGAACAGTATTGGAAAAGCATCAGCAAACTTTTTTTTGTTTTTATGTTTTATTAAAATTTTTAATATTGTGTATACCACAACAGCATGTGATCCAGTACAACAACTATTAACACAAATAGTTTGTTTCAAAGAACCACACACAAAAACTTATCACCTTAAATAGCATAAATATTGTTTGAACAATAAAAAAATATATTCTGCGCCTACTGAAATGTTCCAGATTTTGAATAATAAATATAAAAAAAAAACCTGATCTGACCTATTAACCTGACTATAACCCTATAATCTCTCTATGAACTTTACACAATCTTTGCTTAATAAAATCGTCTTCGCATCATGAAGAAAAAGAAGATGAAGGGAAGGCGAGGTATAGATGTACATTATTAATTGATATACTTACTTTGGCCAAAATTTAATTTATTTCGAGCTTGCATATTGGCATATTGGTTCTGCATTTGCAACTCCAAATTTGCAGCATATTGTATTTGAGAATGTTGTTGGTTAATCATCGACATACCTCCATTCCCTTTCACAATGGGTCGACCTGTAATATTTGTATATTGAATAAAGGTATTCATCACCTAAAAATGATTAATTTCAATATAATTTACCTTGAGGTTGCTTGCCCATATTCCAATTGGCACCTGCTACTGGCCGGTTTTGACTATGATTTTGCCTGGCATTAAGAGCCGGACTTGAAACTAAATTTTTATCCTTAAGATTACCATTGGCAGTCGCATCACCTAAAACGATTAAAATAAATAATTTCTTATCTAATCTATAAATGTATAACAGAACAATAGTAAATTCTCATACCTGCAGCATTATTCTTGACCATTGAATCAGGTTCCTTTTCAGCCGTCATCTTTCTTAATACAGAAGTCGGAGTAAAAGCCAAAGGTGTTGGTGATCCTACATGCTTGGCTGGCGAACTATTGGCGGCAGAATTGTTAGAATTCTGCGAAATAACAGAGTTGTTGGCATTAGGAGAATGAGACCTCTGCATCTCTTGCCGTTTGCGGAAGTTCTCAGATTGCTCTTCCAATTTTTTCTTGATTAGAGCACCTTGCAGAATATTTCGAGTATGCGCTTGAAGTTCCATTGGAGAAGGCATTCGAGGAGGAATCACTAGAAATGAATAACGTCCAAATAATATTAATGTTACAAACATTATTATAAATTAATACAATATTTGAACATTTTTAACCACTCAACCAGTTGGATAGTTTTGACAAATAAAATGGTATAAAATTGTCATTCTGCAAATGAGAAATTTATGCCATCAGTTTGAATTTCATATTGTTTGCTCGAAATGGAACAAAAACACTTTCCTTTTTAGTATGCCTCTATTTCTACCCGTTTTTCGTTTGTAAATATTAATAGTACAATGAATGTTAAACAAAAAATACAAAATGCAATGGTGACAGTAAAATAATAAGTACTGTTGAAGTATTTTAATTTTATTATTTATAACCCTGTGCACCCAGCACCGATTCAAAAACAATCTACCACCAACTCGGCGCCGCATTCTAACGAAATGAAGCTGCTGATGTAAACTTGATATTATTGTGTATGTGATGCAATTTGTTTTATATAAAGTTGTGGACATTGATTAGCATATATTTACAATAATTAAAATATTTTCTACAGTATGTTAAAGTTTAAAGCCATTTTCAAAGGACATAACATGAGCAATCCATTTAGCCCATAGACCACGATTTTTAAAATTTTATGGCACTTAATTTACAAAGTTCGGTATACTCCACTAAACATAGTATAAAAATACTAAATTAAATAAAGTATTTCATGAATTAGTGCAACTAAAAAAAAACGTAATTTATTGGTGTGAAAGTTGATAAAATAAAAAAATTATATTATATAATATATTTAGAAGTTAAAACAATATTTGACCAAACAATAATGAACAAAAACACGCTCAATAACTGTCAAGTGGTTAAAACAAATTGCTAAATTTGGTGCAAATAATATAGTACTAAATTTTATGAGAAAATTATGCTACAGGGTGAAAAAGCAGATCAGAAAGGATTTGATTTATATAAATCTAGTATTACCTGGATGGTGCACTGATAAAGTATTAGGACTAGTTGCCAAAATCGGGGATACACAATATGCTGCATGTAACATTTATCAAAATTATTTTAACTAAGTATTTAAAAATGACTAACAACTACAACAAAGTGTTAAATATATCTACATATATATTAGTTATTACCATTGGGCAAAGGCGAAACTCGCAACTGCTGTTGAGCCCCGAGCATCATGTGCTGCATAAGATCAGAGTTGGCTGGTGGTCCCACAGGGCTGATGTTTCGAGGGCTCGTTATATTGCCATGGGTTTTCAAGATTGCAATAAGCATTTCGCGATGTCTCTGCTGAATTGCAGGATTGTTTAATTGTTGCAACAAATGCTGCACAGTTATCTTATTATGTTTGAGGCCTGAAATTAAATAATTTTTTGAAGATGAAGTATTTAGATTACAAATTAATTTCGTATGAAAAGATTAACAATGAAATATTAATTATAAAAGTAATTGATAGATGTATATTTTAGAAATAAATTACAATATACAAACATTTTTTTAAAATTCAATTTCTGAAATTTTATGTTAAAACGAATCAACACACTTCAAGCACCATTAAAAAGAATATCACAAATATGAGCAATATTTTATATGCAACAAAGCAAAGCTGACCCTGAATAATTGCTTGGGCTTCCGGTCTCTGGAGTATTTCCCTAGCGTACTGCTGTTGTTGCATATTTGTAGCCCCAAACATGGACTGCAAATCAGGATTCAAAGTGTTTGATGGCAATGGAGAACCTCCGGCCAAATTTTGCTTAGAATAATTATGCCCCGAGTTCGCAATTAATTGAGAGAGCTGTTGCTGTTGTTGTTGTCGCTATAAAAAGAAATTAATTGAGTATTTCATGATAAAATTGAATTACAGCATAAAAACAAATTACCTGTAGTTGTTGAACCTGCAACAACTTCATGACAAGTTCTGGGGGTACCTGTGGAGCAGGTTGGTGTACATTTGGGGTAGGATGAATTCCTGGTGAACCAAAGGCTCCTGTTGCCCCCATCTGATGATTAATGTTTAATCCAGCAGCTACATTTGCCATGTTGCGTGCTGCATTTTCATCAGCCTGCTGAGATTTATTCAGCATCTGAAAATATTAAGAGTTAATATTATAATTGCTTAAATAGGTGTAAATAAACAAGGTAAATGTACCTATTCTCAGAGAGGAACTCTTGATGTCAAGATCAAACTTATGTTTATCGAAATGTAAAGATACCAGTAACTTAGCATAGCTATATTATTTGATAATAGACCCAATAATTATAAAAATATTACCTCCAGAATACTCATAGGCTGTTGTTGAGACTTTGGCATAGGTCTTCCTTGTGGACCCTGAGTGGCACCCAAAACTTGCGGAGACTGTTGTTGATTCGAAGATACTTGCGAAAGCAACTTCTGAAAAGCAGCTACCTCTTCAGGTTTACTGTTGCTTCCACCACTCTTTTCAGAAGACCCCCCATAACCCTCACCATGTCTCATACGAGCTTCAAGCTCCTCTACATTATGAATCTTTCCACCAGCAGTACTACTGTCACTGGTATTCGGGTCTACTCTGGCTCTTTGGAGCATCTCTAAGAGATTGCTATTATGGACAGTGGCAGATGGTTGACTATTAATAGATGAGTTTCCGGCAGGACTTATCGGAGTAAAATATTTGTTGGAGTCTGCAGGAAATTTAAACAGATCAAAACAGTATTTAAATTATAAATATTTAAAACTGTATCTCTTACCAGTAAGCATAGAAGATAACTCTTCATGAAGTGAAGATCTACGACTATCCATCCTATTCAAAACAGGACTTTCCCTTCTAAAGAACTGTGAGAATCGAGAACCAGCCGTCTCGTTAGAGGTACCATTCTAAAGTTATATTTATATTCATAAGCACTATTCTGGATAACAAATGTCTTGTACTTCTAATGTAACAAATTACTTACACTAAGTAGTGCTGCAGGAATGCTGTCTAGATTTAAAAAGTCATCAAGAATAAATCCTGGGGCAGATGCATCATTAGTAATCTGAGACTGTTTTTCAGAAAGACTTGCGTCAATTATTGAGCTGTCATTTTGTAAAGCCACAGGAATTGGAGATTTACAATTCTCCTGAAACAAAAAGGAATTAGATCTCACCTTTGATTAAAAAATTGTAAAAGTAAAGTACATAAAGAAATCTACCTTATTATATTCTTTGTCATTGTCCACTGGTGTGGACGTGCTCCTTCTTTTTGGAGACTTTTCACCAGTAGTTTCTTGATCTCCTTCTCTAGATTCAAGATTTGACTTATTTTTGTCCCTAGAACTGTTGAGGTCATTGTCTTTCTTGGAAATACTGCCATCAGTATTTTTATCTGAGCCACTCTTCTTGCCAACTTTTTTCTGCTGCGTTGAACGCTGCTTCTTGCCGAGGGCAGAAGACTTCTCTTCAGGTATGTCTTCAAAACCGCGCAGTTCAATAGTGTCCTGAAAAGTTATATAAATAAATATTAGGTAAATAATTGATAAAAAAAAACTCCAAAATAATAAGAAGATAAATGGGCCAATTCCCAGATAACATAGCTATGTTATGTTATTGGTCACCCATGGTAAAATATGTTTCAAACAAGCTTATGTTAAAGATTAGCTATTCTCAGTGTACTTATTTTATTTTAGAAAATAATGTCTTGAAATTGGCACTCAAAGTGTCGGTCTCAAGCTATCAAAATGCTATATAGCTATGAATCTTTCTTGAGGTTTTAAATTTTTGAAGTAACATCCAAATATCACAAACTTCAAAAGAACAATTGTACTTTTGACATTATTTTAAGGTGTTTTATGTTATCTCCATCGCACTATGAACAAAAACTCTAGAACAAAAATAGTAGGATGAAACAAGTTCACCGGAAATAGCTAAACAAAACAAGTCTTCTGTAACATGTTTAGCCAAGAACAAGCACAAAAGTTTCATGTATTTTCAAAAAAAAAACTAGTTATTTTTCTCTCTCTTACATGCTGAGAAGTCGGGCCTCCACTAAACCATTCTGGCTCTTCGGGTTCGCACTTTCCTCCTGACATGTATGACATGTAGTGGCCGCCGCCACTATTTGATCGCCCATTACTGTTGCCGCCTCCTCGGGCCCTATCTGGCGGTCCATTACCATTAGAATATCGTGAGCCAGGACCCATTCCACTCCCACTCATGGATCTTGAGCCTCCGCCGGAAGAGAGTCGCTCGAGGTCTCGACCTCCATCTCGCATTGATCTCGTTGTTGGATCTTTGTCATAATCGCGGGAGAATGAACGCCTCTCATACCTAATATAAAATAAAATTCAGCAAATAATGTTCAAAAACACAAGGTGATGGTTTATATTAAACTTTGTAACCTGTCTTCCCGATCTCTAAATGTTCCGCCAGGTCTAAAGCTATAACCGTCATCCATTAGCCCTCCAGGACCACCAGGGGATGCATCACCTGCAGGTCCCGGCTTATCAGGTCGGAAATCCCAAGAATCTCTTGTCAAGATTCGGCCACTACCTATACGTCTGCCACCTACGACGGAATTGGGTACCACGCCTGCAGATAGAAGTAAAAACAAATAACAATTTGGAAATAAGAATGATATGATATAGTTTATGAAATATAAGGACTAAAAAACGTTCAGCACAGAATTAAATGTGATATTCTATTGGATTTTGCAGTTTTTCAATGCCATATTTTTTCTCATAGACATTGAAGAAAGTCCACCAATAATTTATAATGAAGTTGACGATTATGTTGGTCATCTTCCATATTTGGAATATAATGTATGATTTTTTAGGATAGAACAAAAATAGTATTCCACAATTTGGATTCATAAACGACTTATTAAATCCACGTTTTATTCATTTTTAGGGGCAAGACTGCTATAGAGGCATAAAAAAATCAATTTTTTTATTGCAAAAATGTCTTCCAAAACCAGCCAAGAATATATTCCTAAAATATCAAAAACAAATTCAAGTTATTTTCGGAACTACAGACGAAATAGTGAGCAAGCGTCAAGTATGTATATGAGCAAAACGAAAACTTTGACGCGCGATTTCTCGGTTTTGAATTTTTTCGATTCTTCGAAAAGATAAGAAAAAACTAAACGTTCTATCAAAACAAAACAAAATTCATTATATTCAGGACTAAAACTATCCTAGTTGAACCTAAAAAAAACTTTAAAAAAAGTTATATTTAACCTACTTTTTGAAGTAAAATTTAAATCTAAAGTAAAATTTTGTATCAAATAACATGATTTTTTTTTCAAGTTGCGAACAATTGATGTATCTCATTTTGTTCTGGATTTTTTAGGTTCAACTATTGAAAATATATATTTGTTTTGATTTTTTTCGTGTCAAATGGAAACTGTGACCTGCACATCTTTCCCGCCAAATGACACCTGCACGATCGTGGCGCATCGGCAAAATGCTTGTACCCGACATATGATATATATTTTAATGAACAAAATTAAGAAAAATGTTGAAGTATATAACTTCCATAAAAATTCCTCAAAAAAGCGATTTTTTGAAGCCTCTAAGCAGCAGCCCCCTCCCCCCTTAATCTCTAAATATGAAATCCGAAGTAATTTTGTGTATAAGATGCAGATATAATAAGGAATATTTATCAATGCCAAAGTTCTTAAGCAAACTCGAAAATAGTGACATACAAAGAAATTAAAAATATGGCTAAAAAAGAATTTAAAAAAATGGTTAAAAAGTTTACATAAAATTGCCAACTATTATTCAAATAAAGACCTTTTCACGAAAACAAATAATGAGTATCTTTTAGAGAACTTTCGGTCGTACACAAATACTTCTGCGATGTGCAACAGTCGCCCTGATATCTAATGATTATCCATAATTTAACGAAGTGTTAAGTTAATAATGTACTCTTAATAATGTTTAAAACTGAGAAAAATCGTTCTGCAACGATTTCTCATTGGGTCCATGCATACCCGCCGAGTCTTTTCCGCTAAGCTGCATGTCGTTAGCGCCTCCACCAGCTCCTGCACCACACGTAGCTGTTATTACAGTAGGCATGTAACATCCAGTATTAAAAGAACGTCTCTGAGGCGACAAAACAATACCATCTTGCTCCTTGCGGATACGTTCACGGGGGTCTGAGCGTCTCTAAAAAATTACATTAAAGATATAGTTAATTGTAAAATATACACTATATTTATTTCACTACGTACTTTGTGAGGGTCCAACGCGACATCTCTAATACGTTCGTCTTCGATGACTGCTTCATTGTATTTCTTATCGGAATGCCAACGGTCAGGGTCCCAGCATCCTCGACTATTTCTGTTAACAACATTAAACACAATCAACACCCGATTGTATATATAAAATTTTTTTTCTTAATTTTATTTGAACAGCGATCAGAACTTATGGGTTCTATGAGCTGTTGTGATGAATCTCTTACAAACTACGTTTGTTTTATTATAGATGGCAACCCAAACAGTTGTCTCATCTCTATGTGCTGAATTTTTTATTATTACAATTGATGTAATAGTGATGACTTTTTATTTGTGCAGCAATGCCGGGCAAGGGCTATTTTCACTTGGAAACATATTGCTATCTATATTTCCAAGTGAAAATCGTTGTCACTGCTGCCTGACAACAGGCTGCTCGAAGTGGGTATCAAACCCGGGACCCCTGATCCAGGTCCAGTCGTTCTAGCCACTTACATACGAGCGAGCCCTATATATATTAAAATATCGGCATTCCTAATAGTCTACTTACACGTCGAGACAGGCGGGTTTTATCTTAGAAAGTGGAAGCGATCTCAAAGCTAGCAGTTCCTCTTTGAGTATCTTAGTCTCATAGGGCTGGCGGGGCCACGAATCAAAATGCTAGGATCCTCGAAGTCTGAAGCCTCTCCCATCCCCAACGAAGAACAACTGCTCTTGGCGCTCTTGGAAGGTCGTCGCTGTACAAACATCGTCACCTGGAAAATAAAGGTAACAGAAATATAGAATATCAGCACGAATGTATTGATTCGTTCGTGATAAATTTAGGAATTATCAATTTTAATTTGTACGCCTCATTTAAAAATTTCAAACGGTACATGTGTCCATAAAAAAGAATATTTATGATTGGACATTGTAGCAAAAATATTTTGCATAATTATACTGACAAAAATCATGCCAAATTTATTAGATTATATATTTTAATTCTGCAATAGCCAACGTTCTTGAAATTACAATTTTTTGAATTCTCATAAAAGCATCTTTTACATTATTGTGATTTATGTTATGAAAATCAATCAAAACTAGCCATTTTTGAGGAAACGTCGATTTAAGGTAAAAAATCTGTTCACATACTCACATACACACTAGATAATTTAACAATTTTGATTTTTGATTTTTTTTTATACAACTAGAAGAAATTAATTGTGTTCCGTATGCAGTTTATTGAATTCTCTATAGCCTATGCGTATTAGAAGAAAACCCAGTGGTTGCCTATTCCCTTTGTTAGAAATCCTATTTGGATCTAAATTTTTGAGCGATAACTGATATCAGGCGGACACACACACATACTGCTTGATATCAGCTGGACACACACACACACACACCACACTTTCTCTCCAATTGTTGGTATCATTCCATTCAGAATGGCTTGAAACGTCGAGAAAACAAAATCAGCGAATCAGATTTTTTTATGAAAACAAGATTTTTTTATAAAAACAAACGTTTCTTCGGGAAGTTTGTAATACGATTTTGTAAGCTAATGAAAGTATCTCTTAGATTACTTTTATTTAGTTTTAACAAATAATTCACAACATTATAAATAAGAATACATTTAATTTTTAAATGCGCATGATTAGCTCTTTAAATAATTGTTTTTTTTTTTTTCAAAAAAGATGTAGAAACCATGAGAAATAATATGAAATTATTTCTATTAAAATTTTGATATTTTGAAATTGAATGAAGTGATATTCGAAAATCATAAAAAGTATTAATCAAATATGATAGTTGATTAACGAAATAAATTGAAACCTTCTTATATCTCAAATATCGATCAATTTATTCGATTTAAAAAAATATTTGAAACTTAATACGTTATTGCCAAGATAAGATCAATAGGCTAACTATAATATAAATAAGTATCTAATTTTTAAATACATAGGCTTCATTTTGACTATCAACTCTCTCACTATATATTTCCTTAACACATGCACTGCTAACCTTGCACTTTTTCTTATACTTTTCCTCGTGCTATTTTTTTTCATTTGTTTGATACAATTTCTCGACATGTTAACTGAAATTATACTAAAATTTTTAAAAAAAATCTAAAATAGAATTAATTAGAATATTTCTGTTTGAATTTAAACATTTTCAACAAGCAAAAACATTACTCGAAAGTGCAAGGAACTTCAAAGAAAATATAATATTGAACCTAAAATTTTATTACTTTTATTTGAAACATATGCAATGAAAAATGAAAATTTTTGCGTATCTTCACGTTCCAGAGGTTTCTGAACATTTTGGCATACTTTAGAAAAAATGGATGTGTGTGTGCATGTGTCTCTAGTAGATCATATATAAATAAAAAAAATGTTATTGATCAAATCGATTTATTTATACTTATTGGCACAGCGCAAAATGCCACTTACAACTAGTTTTATTTGACTGCCTCCCTCATTTTATTTACTTCGTTCAATATTTTTTTTTTTTATTTGTTTGATTTTGTCCATTCTAACGGAGTATATTTTATTCTAATCTAAAAATTCATGTTTTATATTCCTATTTAATAGTTGCGTTTAGTTGTAAACTAAAATTATCTTGTTATAAATAGCAATTAATATAAATCAAACGTTTACACGATAAAGGAAATTTAATTAATTGACTATGATTACTTTTATCAGAAAAACTTAGGGTTTCGCTCAACTGAAACAATAGGTAACAATAGTTACTGATTTCATACCTCACATTAGAAAGAAATTCTATATAGTTAATTAAAGTATGTTTAGAATATTCCATTACCTAAAAGATAGATAAAAGCCCCCTGGGAATGAAAAACAAACTTGAGCGCAACACAATAAAGTACAGTTATCTACTACTACTGTGTATTGTGTGAAATAAAATTTTACCACAAATCAAAACATTGTTACGCAAGAACCAAAAATCGAACTAGTAGTCGTGCCTTAAGGCAAATTCCTGGACATTCCCGTACTAAAAATTAATATGTTATAAAAAAGATTAAATTTCTTTTAAACTTTGAAAAAATAAATATCAAAAGCGCGTAAGCGCCGCGTCGCCGTCTAACGGACAAACGATGTTACGAAACCCAGAGAAATGTAAACAGAATTTATACGCATTGTTAAAATCTCCATAAATTATGTGATAATGTGATGTGCATATGTCTAATGATCATTTTTAACCGCCAAATAGTATTTTTTTACTTTTTTTTTACTTCATCTCCGAAACCGCTAGACCTACCCTTCCCAAAAATTTAATCAGTTCATTTTGTCAATACAAGTAAAATGTTTTTTTAAGTATTAAATCGATACCCCGTTCTCTAAAAACGAAGTTACCATTTTTGGCACTTTTTGTCCCATATCTTCGAAACGGTTAAACCTGCCTTCGCAAAAACTAATCAGCATGTCTTCTGATCAATACAAATCGAAAGCTTTTAAATATTTAAATCGGTTGATCGGTGTTCCCGAAATCGTCGACAAAAATTTGTATCCGCACACACTCTCACACACACATACAAGTTAATTCATTTTTTCTAAGGTATGCCAAAATGTTCAGAAGCCTTTGAAACGTAGATATATAAAAATTTTCATTTTCGTTTTTTTGCCATTACTGTAACTTACCCTACGGAAAGTTAAAAATTTAGCTTCAGCTAATTAGTTCAACTGATATTCCAAAAATAAAATTTTCGTTCTCACTAAAAATTATCAATGCTATTTTCTATTGCAGTGTTTCAAAACATGCATATATGTATGTGTAATTACATATATTACACTAATTGTTTAACATAATTCATTTCATTCAATTCGAGTTCTAGAAAAATATTTTAAGTTTGGACGTAAACTGTAATCAGTAGCGAAATACAAAAAAAAACGCGCGCTTGAACACGCGCGTCAATTCTAAATTTTCATTTTTTGACCATTTGTCGTAGGCCTATAATGTTTTATTATGTTGTTTCATGTGTAACGTCATATAAAGTTTCATCAGAATAGTGTTTACCAAAATTTAATTACAAAGAAATGGCCCGGCCGATCTTTACCAAAAACTAATCAACGCGATTCCCAACCAATATCTTTGGAATAGTTTTTGAATCTTTAAAATAGGTTCAAAATTGTGGGTAAAACGTCGACAAAATTTATGAAAAGTGATTGAATTATAAAAAAAGTCAATGTTTGAAAAAGTCAATGTTTGAAAAAGTCAATGTTTGAAAAAGTCAATGATAATAGAAGAACAGAAATTATGAAATCACGTCGCAATAAATATCGTTAAATATTACAGGCTTAAGAAAAGTGGTAGAACTATAAAAAAATCACTAAAGTTTGGAAAAATATACCCGTATAAATAGACGGAATAACGAATCGAAATAATGAAATGATTGAAATCATTTCTGAACACTTCTAATTAAATATTTTAGGCATATAAAAAGTAGTAAAACAATCAAAGTTTAAGTATGGCAGTGGAAATAGATACAATAACAAATATAATAAAAGAAATTAATAAATCGCATCTTAAGTATTGTTAAATATTATAGGCCTATGAAAACTGGTTGAATTATAAAAACACCATCAAATTTGGATAAATATAATATATAAATATATAAAATAACGAATCGAATAAAAGAGGTTATTGAAATCACTTAACACATACCGTTACGTATTGTAGGCCTATGAAAAATGGTTAAATTATAAAAAAAAATCATCAATGTTTGAAGAAGTGTGACTGTGGACATAGATAGAATAACAAGTAGTATTAAAGATATCATGCAAAATGAAAATAAATAGCAACAGATAAAGAATTACGCGTATATTTGATTTTAAGATCCCATCATGCAACAGCAATTTATAACAATTATCAAGACTTACTCCAAGAAACTCTCTTAGCCAAGTTCTTCCTCACCCACTGACTGTTGCTTTTGTTTCTGTTCAGGGAAGACCTCGAACTCAACGAGGACAGACTTACAGTTTTCCTACGATTTTTCCTTGCCCGTTTCCTTTTAATGCTTTTACTACTAATATCCATATCGAAAAAAACCTAGCTAATATTCAAAAACCGCCAAATTTGTTCCAATCAACTAAAAAATCTATTAACGTTTCTCAGCACTAGCCGATGACACGCGTGTCCAAAATCAAAATTAAATTTTCAATACAAAATTTATTAAAATATATTTGCTTTAACTAAGACGTCCACCGCTTCAAAATAAAGTGAATTTTAAACCGATATACAAGAAAAAAAATCCACCCGAAGTTATTTACCAAAGGAGCCCTGAATTGGGGCTCGCTTTTGGGTAAAATAAAACTAAACTTTAAACTTCTTTTAATTAAACGAAAACAAAAATTTATACAAAACACGTAAAAATTACTTTCTAAAACCAAACAAAAATGACTTAACTTAAACAGTTAAATGTCCGAATCGTTTTGCTAGACGAACCGGCGTCGACGGAGAGAAATGGCTACCCGAAAAATAACACTGCCCTTCGTTCTCGAAAAATTTATTCCTCTTCGATAATATAATATAATATATTCACTACTATTAAACGTTTTGTTTACTGCTGAACGGCCACGAGAAAAGTGATTTTAAGGTTTTTGCAAATGCACTTGCAACCTGTTACACAACGTTTCATCATGGTGGGGATTTTGGCAAAAAGGACCTCTGTCGGGTAGAAGTTTAAATTGTATAAAAGAACAGGGTCGAATCGAGATAAAGGAAACATAATATATTAATATATTTTTCTAATAAGAATACTCTAAAA